GACGACAAATCGTCAGGTTGTTTTTCGAATTATACGCTTACGGCACGCGTAACGCATCACGGCAGTGGATGTGGTCGACCGTGTCCAGAACTAATGTTGTACGGTTAGCAGCGTCGCGGGCCCCGGTCAAGTCCCTTGCGTTGCCTGGTGCTTTTTATGTATACGTTCGCCACGAAAAAGTAGTCCTCTTCTCTTTTCTTTCCTTGTGCATTTTAACCATTTTTTTTTAACATCCTGAAACGATAATTACGAAGTTACTCGAATTTTGAAATTGTTTACTTTATTGTTTACCAAAAAAAAGCTGTAAACAAGGCCAGGAGACCACACATTATGGGACTACCGTTTCACCTCGACCCGTAAACGGGGCTACAATTCATAGTCACGCTCCGTTCATAAAACAAAAAGTTCTGGACTTAATACGACATGTTCGGGATCCCGGTTGAAAAACTTTCACTGGTCCCGAAATTTAAAGAGCAGTATCATTATTTTCAGTACCTAATTAAGACTTTATTCAAGAAATTCCAGTGGCAGAGAATCTGTCATTCGATCAAAAGAAGTAGGAAAATGGAGCCCTGTCGAATTAATCAGCAACAACGTATAAAGGAAGAATGTCTTATACGAACTCCACTTTGACTGTATTGAACGGGTCTACGGTTCTTCAAGATTGGCAATAGACAAATGGTCCAAAAACAGTCTTCCTAAATCATTAACAAATCATATCTCTGTTATTTCTTGTCCGATTTTAAAAATTGTACAAAGAATTACCTGGACTTTGAAGATAAACAAAACATAGCTCTCTTGCATGCACTTCGAAAAATGGTGTGTGGTCTCGTCCGCGACCCCGTTCTGTGGAAGGGGCCGGGCAGGGGCGGCCGCGTCAGGGGCTGGGGCCGGCCTGAGAATATGGCTCATCACACACGGTCGCCTTATACTGTCGCGATCGGGTGTCAGTACGGCACCATTGTTTTTCTGTACAGTCGTGTAGCAATTCCAAATTATCTCTTGAGAAAAGAAGACTCTTGCCGTACAAAATGTACAGTGCATGATCAGCGCTCTATCCGTTAATTTGGCTAAAATCCGATCTCGTGTTTCGCACGGTACCCTTTCGGACAAACTGCATGGCACTACGGCGGATTCTTATTCCTCCATGCTGACACCCGGACGGGAAAATTTGAAATTTATTGCAAACAAATGTGGTGTGATTACAGCCAGCGACTGACACAATTATAAGCATATAGGTTTGGCTTGGCCTAGTGCGTTCGCTACCCGTACACGTATCAACAACGAATTATTTTGAAATTCATAGACCGTTTACCGGTGTCAAAATCTACAGGCCCCGCGGCCGGGCCAGCGGCACAAGTACACCCGTGAATTTCCAGCAAGCTTTACATAGCGTGTCACGGTGATGTGAACGATCGAACGATGTAACAGACGTTTCATGCTACGGTTGGCCGTTAGGGCAAACACAAAAGAATGATCCCCGATCTATAAATGAAATGCTATGTAACTATCAAAACACTGAATTATCTTCGTAACAATAGTCTTCGTTTTTATTTCATCACACCGAGCATTCCACAACCTCTTTAACATCATTAGACGCTGTGGACGCTACGTATCGTAAGTGACACCACAAACACTCATGCACTTACTACCAGTAAAAACTAGCAATCGGAGAAAACGGCATCACTTTGAACAACACTTTGCGTCTAGACTGCAGAGTATTTTCAGTTTTCAGTTGGGTTTCTGGTTGTGGACACTTGATGAATTGAATTCAATAAATTTGCTGTTTTTCACCCGTTTGTATATTAAATCAACAAGAAATAAGAGAAAAAAAGTGAATGCTAGTTCGTGAAACCAAAAAAACTGCGATTTACTTCAATATATTGCAACACTAGGTTTGTGCTACTTCGTGGAAATGGAGAGTGTTACTTCGTGAAAACGTTTTTGCTTGCATCTAAGCTGAGTGCACGCCATGCATTACAATGGTAAATGGAACTTGAGTGTTACTTCGTGGAAACAAAAATTGTCACTTTTGCGCAAAAGTTGCCGTGGATAGTTAGCATAATTATGCTTGAAGCTTTTAAACCTCGTGCAATGGTAGCCCTTGATGAATAATGTAAAAAAAAAAAAAAAATGAAAACTAAAAAAAAAAATTGGTTTAAACGTGGAGTGCTACTTCGTTGTGTCGGTGACGGTATAATACATATTGTATATGGGTCATTCTATAAATATTTGAGGTCCAATTCTTTTCCTTTCCCTGTTACATTTTACGTTAATTTTTTTTTATTCTGATGCACTCCTTTATGCAGTTATTCTTCAAGAGTGTTTATGAGTAGTAAACTACCTACCCGACAAATTGAACATCGTTTGAAGTCATTCCTAATGACACTTGAATGGCAAATTACACATTTTTTTTGGGGGGGGGTCGACTTTTTCCCGCAGGTCCATTTTTTCCTAGCAATTGATATTTTAGTTTTTACTTAGTTTGTGTATGTGTGCGCTATCTTTGGAAAAACAAATAGAAGATACTTAGCAGAAGCTCCATCACGCACTACTTATAGCCTACATATTAAGCCTGTTTCCATATCGACGTAAAGAAACGCAAAGTGAAACGCAAACCGGACCTACACTTCAACGCAGACATATTGAAATGTTTCATTCGAAAGTGTCGCCAACTCAGACAGACGCAAACTACCTCGCAGACGATCGGCAAAGTTGAACCCGATTCAACTTGGCCGACTATTCCGCGTACTATCCGCGCAGTCTGCGTAAGCATTTAACGTCGATATGGAAACCAGGTTTTATTAGTCGTCACACGATCTGTCCGAAAGATCAGAAATGCGACGCAGTAATAGCGTAAGGTCCACATTATGATAAAGGGGTCCACTTTATGGTAGAAACGATCCTGCCTGTTCTCTAATTAAGCTGGCTACGGTTCTAAAATACTGGGGCCGTATTCATGAAACCTTTAATACTAAGCCTAGTTGGTTACTAAAAAGCATGTAGTTGTTTACTAAGCCTAGTTGGTAACTAATTGATATTCATGAAACATTACTAACGTTAGTTAAATTCTAATTTTCTTACTAAAGTTGATCTAGGGCAACTTAGATCTAAGTCACTAGTAAGCAACTATATCATTTGTTGCTGTGTCAGACTTGGCTCTAGATCTTTAGGTGGCTTTCCCCCTCCGGTTGCCTTCTAAGACTTAATTCTCATTCTTGACAGGCATTCTCTTGACTCAGTTTTTAATGTGGATAATCTTATTTTAAAATATCCAATGGTCTTTCAACCTGTGAAAATCCTGAACAGTGTTGAATGAGAATAGCTGTCCATGCATCTTTCTTTTTGTTTGTTAGTGTTTACATCCTTATGCCTAACATCACTTTATCTATTAATCCCTCATACTTGTCTGCCATCATGAAGAGTTCTCTTTTTGAGGATAATTTGCCTTTCCTTGCCATTTTTGTAGCCATGTCTGATAACCTAGCTATATATGCAATTAATGCTAGAGGATTTGATGTTGATTCACTTACATGCAGACGCAGTACACAATACAACATAAATGTAGGCCTTATGCTCGACATGGTTTAGCCTAACACACCTCATACTATTGTATCTGTTGTCATCACATTCCATATATGGCCACTCTACCCAAAAGCACCCAATTCTATAGTTACCCACGTATGCATCTAAATTCTCCCAGTATGTAACTAGTTAGCAAGGTTCTTAGTAAGGTTTCATGAATACCAATTTAGTTGTCAACTTCATAGTAGACTACTAGGCATTTTAGTATCCTACTAAGGCCTAGTTGGCTGCTAAGTTAGTAAGGTTTCATGAATATGGCCCCGGACCTTTGGTATTCCTAATCCAGTAAAATGAATCCAAGGCCCACGGGAAACTCGACCAGTTTGAATCATAGATTCGAATTTCAACATCAAAAGAACATGTACAGGAAAACGAACATATTTGATTACATATTATATATTTCAAAATAAATGTGAAACATATTTTTCTTAAAACAACCCAGTTGGGAACAAAGAAAATCTCGAAGTTATCAACGGTAATGCTCTCTGTTAATTCTGGATTGGAAGGTTTAAAACTACTCATTATAATAAAAATATGAAAAATTCATTTGCCATGATGATTTATGCCTGGGTCTGAAAAGATCCAAATAATTAAAATCATAAGTTGATCAGATTTCGGCTCAGCCATGTAAATTTATTAAGGCAAAGAAAGGTGGGCCAACACTGGTTGGATGACAAACCTGCAAATTTACGCAACTGAGCTCAATAAAAATGAAACAAAAAAAAATGGCAGTGAATGCATCTACTCACTGTCAAGTTAGTTTCAAAATTTAGCATTTCAAGTGTTTTGCAAAGTTAATGGTCTGGTTTTCTGAAAACCAGTTAAATAAGATTTCCATAAAAAAACCAAGAAATAACACCAATAATTATTCATTCTTACACACTCATATTAAATTCTTGAAAAGTTCCTGACCTATAACGCCTCATAATTGTTTACATTGAGTACCACGTTTCACCTTTTTGCATACAGCGAAAACAACATACGGGTACTTCTTGTTTATAAATCTTATAATTGGTATACAATATTTTATTCAAGATAGGTACACAAAGCCTTTCTATTTCAGTTTGGCCCTAAGGGGCTCAACTGTTGAGGAAGTGTTCGTGAATATTAACAAAAACCTATAATCACGAGGTTAACGAATAAGCGCCGTGTGGGCTACGGTTTATAATGATGCATAAGTAGGAGTATAATATGTTCTATTGTAACGATGACAAACAGGTGTTTTGAAAATTCCAATTGTCAACTCGCAACCTTCAGTTTTCATGTAAGTGTTGAACATGCAAACACTTTACCTTTTGGTTAAACTATACTTTTCGCAATATTTTTGGTTAAACTATACTTTTCGCGATTTGTCGATAGATAGCAAACCTACCCCCAAAAATGTACGTATCATTTTAGACCTATTTCACGTAGTTGATTACTGGGCTGGCTTTCCACCATTACTGGGACGCTTCAAAGCTCACTATGGTTTTTCTCACACATAATTAATTGCTCTTTAGTGAGGTGTTCAGAGCTGTACAAAACACACGTGTGATGGGCCTTCAGACATGGAAGCACCCCAGTAAAGGTTACCAGAACTGTCACCATAATTTCAAAATCAGATTTGTGTAGAATATATCCCAGCACCATGGTCAAAAGTAAAATACAAATCTCTCACAAAGATGTTAATCTAAGGTTCCCCAAATCTAATTAATCCTCATTTTATTCGTTCAGTCTAGCCTGTTGGATTTCTGTTATACTCAGATTCAAGTTTCGGTTTCACACGAATTCAAGAGTATTTATGATAACCACACCGTTCTTCTTTATACAAGTCCCTGAATTGACAATACAGCTATTGAATCAGTATCTTTATGTATAATGTATTTTGTGAATGGAACCTATAAGTCACATCATTTTGGTGGTAAGCAGAGTGAATTATTTCATACTACTTATTAAAGCTGACATACGTTGAGAGAATTCTATGCTAAACACGGTATTTTCTTATACGGTGCCAGAAAGAAACAAGAGTGCTTCCCCCTTTAATTAAAGATTGTTTCCCTTTTCGTAAGGCACGCTTTCCATTCTCGTCAATTTGATTTGTCTGTACAGGTTCTCAATCTGGGCAGCATAATGTTTCCTCAAAATTGGACGCTTCGACTTAAATGTAGGGGTGAGCAGGTTGTTCTCCACACTAAACAGCTCGGACTCCAAGTAAATGTTCTTTACCTGTTTTAAACATCAGGCTCAAATTGTCATCATGCTTCAATACAAGTTTGTTATTTTAAAGTAACTTAGATAATTAATTATATAAACAATTTTGAAAGTCAAACGACTTTTGTTTGGAAAGTCACTCAAAAGATTTAGAAAATGGTATTTCTCCCCTTCTTTCCTATTTTTTCAGACGAAAATGTGAAACTTACTAAAATAGGTTACAGTTTATTCTATCAAATCTTTTTTAATGAATCGCAACCCTGTTGATGGGGCAGACGGGTACTATATTGTGACCCAAGACTTTGCAAGGCAGGGTGTCTACTTTCACCAATTGAGGGCGCCCTAAACACTATATAGGCCAACGCGAAGAAAAGGTGTTAGAAACTGAACCTACCTGCTCGAAGCTGAACAGTTTGGCTTCTTTTCCCACCTTCAGCATATCGTCAAGAATTGCATCCTTAATGACCTAAGTGGAGACATAAAGAAGATAACAGAACTTCACCTAATACATTTAATGGAACGATTCCTGGATTAATTTTTTTTTTTGCGAGTTAGGCAATCTAGAGCAGCACATTGTCCATTGAAAAACAACAACAAAATATTCTTAGAACACAGAAAAAGCTCAGCTCCATATCTGCTGCTGCGATATAAGGCTTGAAATATATCAGCAGTATGAAAAATATCCAATTATGTTTTTTGGTCTATTTTCTTTAAGAACGATAAGCCTGCTAGATATAGGAATCCACAAAGTCCACTGAGGGCGCCCTACATAAAGTGTAGTGTATTCCTGTATTTTCCATTGACTAACCTCGCTGTCACACAACTCTTTGAAGTCTCCTTGCACAAATTTAGCCTTGCCAAGGCTCGGCAATTCATCCTCGTCAGGGACCACGATGGCGATTACATGTGACTGCAGAAAGAAAAATCATCTTTTTTTTATAACCATTCGGGCATACAAAACGAAGTTTGCAAGAACTGCAAATGGTAAGACGGTGCAAGAGTATGGAGTGCCGAAGACACCATCTTTAGATGTTCTTATACATGTATAATGATGTCACAGTATTCCCTCTCTAATAAGTATAGAGTGTCCAAGTCTGAAATTTCAAAATTACTTATAGCTGTACGGTATTACAGTATTATATGCCAAGTGTCCTTCCGCCATTTAATCATATTTATTTTGATCATTTCAAAATAATGTTAGTAGCACTTTTTGTTCATATCTTGCCTATCGACCAGATAGGAGATATCAAATGATCTGAGTATCATTGGGTACAATATGAATGTTCGATGTAGAGTGAACAATCGATTTTGTAGGTAAAATTACATTAAAAGGACCCTAAACTAAAATAGTATACGCCTAAGAAATTACCCGACACTCTGACAGACAGAGAGAAATTAAAATAAGTTACTCCCAATTTATCCAAAAATGTAAGTATTCATCAGCGTTTGACCGACAGACAATTTCCTTCCATTAATGATGTTTTCTTACCTGCAAACTTTCGCCATGCACGAAACACTGTGACACATATTCACTTCTGATGTAAGCGTTTTCAATCTTCTCTGGGGCAATGTACTCGCCCTGCGCCATCTTGAAGATGTGTTTCTTCCTGTCGATTATCTTCAACTGTCCGTTCTATTAATACATAAGATATCGAATCACAACAAATCTTTAAATAAGAGCACCTGAGCTGCAATCCAGAGGTCGCAGATTCAAACCCCGCTTCAGTCAATTTCTTTGTTCAATTTAAGTAAAACTTATATACATGCCGAAATTGGAAAGAAGTGGACGAATTTCAAGGCAGGGCCTCTTTTCCTAGAAAGTGACGCCGTTACGTCACAAGCATTTGCTCAAAATAGCACATTGTGATTCTATCGGTCCACCTACCGGCATCCATTGGCCTACATCACCCGTGTGCAGCCATCCATCTGCATCGATGGTTTCTGCTGTCTTCTCGGGATCCTTGTAATACCCTTTGAAGACACCCGCTCCCTTCATGCAAATCTGTTCAAAGATTTCAACCGATGTGTATATTCATCAAGATTGTTGAATATTTAGTGGGATTTTTTTTTTTTATAATTCTAGGGCAGAGAGCTCAGTATTGAAGAAAAAAACCCACACGTTTATTGCCTATTTATTGAAGCATTTTCAGAAAAATCGCATCAACGCCAAGAGAGGCTGTCTACCAATTAAGATTTTAATTTCCTTCATTTAAGTTAAATCGTTGAAATCAAGACTTTAAGATCATCTAGAGACTAAGGATATCGACAAAGGAACTTTTTTCAAGCGGCTGTTTAAAATTTAAGATGGCCACCATGGTGGCCATACGCCTAGTCTATGTACAAGACCATGGCAAAAGCCAGGGTCTATAACATTCGAGCAGAATCGCTGATTAATTGTGCAAAACAACCACATCTTGATCTCTAGATTTTGACCAATCAGCGGGTGCGTGTCTTTTATCATTCACCGTTATCTCGTCTTAGACATGGATAAAAAACACCCTAGACACAGCAACAAAGGCTGTGATCACGCACTCTGTATTATGTAACGCGCCATGCTGTTGCTGTATTACTAAACACTGCATTCGAATTGACCAATCACACATTTAGTCCTGATTTGGGAACGAAATGACGTCACGATTTAGTAAAGTCGACTCTGTTTGGCTGAGGCGCGAGATCGCATAAATCTGCATGCTTTGACACATCAGACGTTTTACAGGATCAGGAAAGACTTGGCTCCGTGGACAACGGTTGATACTCAGACTACCATACGCCGTGCATGTTGGGGGAATGATTTCTCAAAGTTTCCAAAAATGAATAGTTTTGATTACTGGCATAAAAAAAAGAAACGAAATTTAAAATATGTCTGCAATGGACCTGTCTCTTTGTCAACGGAATAAACCTTTGCACAACAAAAGTCTATGATATGTGAATATATTCGGTGATTAATTCGTTGCCGTTTTCACGAACAGCCACATACTATATATATTATGTTGATTTTGAAGAAAAGTGCTTTCGAGATAATCGCAAAAGAAGTTTATAATATTTTAAAACTGCACGAAATACTACTTTGCAACAACTTTCTGCAGCAAGGAAACCATCACACGATTCTACGAGAGCTGTTTTTGTTTTACATGAACCCGGTAATAAGACTTAATACAGCAGGTAATTGGTACAAATTAATTAGTAAAGATATGTGGCTCTTCGTGAAAACGCAATCTCATTTGATCTACTTTTACGTATTTCCGTGCAATTGGTTTTGTAGGCGTTCAAAAGGCCAAAATGTATGTGAAAACGCAAAATGCATTTATCGAGTTGGATCCTTTGGATCACGGGAGATACTAAGGCTATCTGTCTTTAAAAGCTGTAACTGGGCCCTGATAATGAAGCATCAAAACCTACCTACCGTGTTTGGGAAAGGAAACTATAATCCTATACCCTTCCATAAATAACCCTACCTCGCCTTGATCTTTATCAGCATAGTAGTCCATCTCCGGAACATCAACCAGCTTGAACTTGAAGGCCAGGGAAGGACAACCAACATGGCCGGCACTCAAATCATGGAACATGGTCGTTGTACCCACACCTGCGTTTTCAGTTTGGCCGTATCCTTCCGTTAACTAGGGTCAAAGGTCACAGAGCTAGCTCAGAGCCACTGACAACTGTTTGCACTAATCCAGAATAAAGTTAGTGGCCAAATTCATCAGGAAAAAAATAGTAAGTCAGTCACTCACCAGTGCTCCAAAGGCACACCTGAAAAACATCTTGACCTCCTGGGATATTGGTGCGGCACCAGTGGTAATAAACCGAACTCTACCACCTAACAAATTCTTAAGGAAAAAAAAACATTAACGGGATAAGGGCATGTACGAATGGCATAAATTGCACCCCGCAATACTCCTAATAAGTCAGGACTTTCGTCTGTACCGAACCATTTCCGTTTTTAATTTCACATTTGAATATGGCCGCGGCAGCCACTGACACAGTTTGTCACTATTTTGCAATTTTTTCCCCATTCAATTCAATAAACTGGCAAGTTTTTGGAATAAACTCAACTCTAATGGACAATGGCAAAGACTGTTGAAAACTCAGAATGAGAAAAAAATGCTTGTAAGAATGATTTTATATTAATATCAATGCTTCTAAATAAAACCATTATTTTGATAATGTGAAAGATTACTGGTCAAGCAAAACCGCTATCAAAATTAAGAAAAACTCAGGTAAGATGGTAGGACACAATGAGTCTCTTGCATCCGAAAATATCTTCGTTTTTATTTCGAGGGAAGCCCTCATTTACTTTAATTTGTTTTATGACCCTTCCCTATTAATTAATAGTATCTTACTAAGTGCATTTATGTAATGCGCTTACCCGAACTTTCGTGAAGACTTTGTCCCAAACACCATCATTTATGAATTTGCCACTGTAGACAAACAAAAAGATTGGAATCGATTTCCTTTCTGTTGAAAACCAAGTACAAATAATTACCTCGATTGTATCATAGTTGGACTCGATAGTTGCAAAAAGACTGAAACAAAACAGTTTTAACTGAGAAAACTATAATTGCTTAAATGTTTAGTTATATCACTTTAAGCTATTTTTACGGCAGGAATAAGCCTGAGAGTAATAACCGACTGCGTTGTTGGTAATTGCCAATTTTCAGGGTTTCATTGGGTTGGATTTGATTGATTGCTTCATATTGGGGGATCTCTCAATATCACGTGACCCCTGTCAAATCGTCGGGGTTTGAAAAGGGGAGCTGTTAATAATCATTTTGCATTTCTAATTTTCTTGTTCGAGTTCTTACCCTTCCATCTCCTTCATTTTCATTCGGAGCGCCGTTCTCATCAAAAACTTGGCCAGCCATCCTTTCTGAGCAACTAATTGAGTCACCTGATCGATTTAGTAAGACCATAAGAATTAATATTAATACTTTAGGATACAAGTAATTCAACCTTAGAGCAATGACAGGGGATCTTGCAATCTAGTCTTGCTTCTGCTCATCAACTAAGGTTAGCTTTGCTTTTTACAAGCAATTGCACAAATAACACAATCTAGATGTTTGTGGACAAACACACGGCTGTTTCGACTTTTTTGTTATTGGATTTTAGTTGTAGATTGATAGGACATAGATGTGCAGTAGAAAACTGCAGAGTGACAGGGCCAAACCTTTTCGTAGAAATAGGTGCTATAAATTGTACATTTAATGTGATTTTAAATTTCATGTGATGACGTCATCATGACATCCCTTCCATTTTTAGGTACATACCGGCTTAGGTACATACCAAGTTACAACTAAATCGGACCCATAGTTCTGCAGAAATATAGTCCATATAAATAAGTACGTTTAATGGGACGTCACATAATGTGTGATGACGTCACCATAATATATCATCTGTAGCACATCACAGTCTCTTACATACCAAATTTCAACCCAATTGGACCTGGCATGCTTTAGAAATAGGCCTTCAAAACATGCACATTTAATATGACGTCACATGTCATGTGATGACGTCATCGTGACGTCACTTCAATTTTCATCTAGGTACATACCAACTTTCAACCCAATCGGACCTGTTGTTCTGCAGATATAGGCCTTGAAAATGTAAACATTAAATGTGACGTCGCGTAAACCCTGATGACGTGACGATGACGAACATTTTCCGGACTCATTTTTAGATGATGGTCAATGACTAAGCATAGTTGAAAGTGGATTGAATATTAAAAAAGTTCCCAAAGTGGCTTGTACAAAAAACGTGTACAAAACCTATGGAAAAAGTGGAATGTCTGTATAACGAACAGAACATAGGGCTTTTCCGCATTTCACGTTTTTCAAAAGTTTATGCTTTGTTTTTCCATGTGCAATCATGTTCAATAATGTTCAATTCCATGCACGAACAAATTTCTGTGATTCACATAAAAAGAATAATTAAATTTCAATGGGACGTGGTTCTCTATGTCGTCACATTGCGTCACTTCTATTTCATCTATAACATGTCTCTGACTATGTATTTACATAGTGTAGTGCTGTGGCCTCGTGGTTAAGGGAATTGGATTCGTGGTCTGCGGGTAAAGCTGTAGGTTGTGGGTTCGAGTCCAGCCTGGGGTCACGGTGCGTGTGCCCTTTGGCAAGGCACTTTGTCACTCATTGCTTCTCTCCACCCAGGAGTTAATGGGTACCTGTGAGGACAGAGATGGTTGTTGTGATTAAAAGAGCTTTCTTGCCCTTCACAGGCTGCATCGAGCTTATACTCCCCAGGGAGCTTAGATGGTATTAGGAACATTTCAAGGGCCCAATGAGCAGGGGTAATAATGATGTAGCGCCTTCAGCACCAGTCCTGGTGGATACGTGCGCTTAAATACCCACTATTAGTATTTATTATAACAAAGTTTTAACCCAATCAAAAATTAAGTCTGTAGATTTAGATATAAACAAAATATGCACATCCGAGATGATGTACACATTTACTATCAGTGCGTTCGATTACTTCCCCCGCGCTGACTCGTGCAAGCGCGACAGCGTTCGATTGACCTCTGACGTGACTTCTCGCGCTTACTCGAGCCTGGCCCAAGTGACCGACTCGCCGAGCCAGTTACTTGGGGAAGTATCCCATAATGCCATGCAACGTCCAGACGGCGCCTCAGGCCGCGTCCGAAACGGGCTTCCACGGAACATAGAGCTACAAACCCTGTGTAGCTAGCTCTATGCACGGAGCTACGGCTACGAATTAATAGTCAGCGCGCCCGAGTCCCCTCCCTGCCCTGCGTATTTTTGCTCTGTTGATTGATTCGCATGCAGCCTGTGTCATGTCAAAATCCCCCCCCCCCCCCTTCCGGAAAAGTAAACCAAAAAAAAAAAAAAGGAAGAAAAAAAGAGAGAAGAAAAGTAGAGTAGAGTTTTAGAGTAAGCAAGTATGTCACGAATTAAGTTCGAATTGTCATGAATATATCTTGATCTTCATGAATAACGCTGCCAATACACTGTTTTAGTCTGCTGGCAAGCAACTTTGCGAAAAGTCGGTGTTCAAAAGAGAAACCAGGCACCAATTACCAGTGTCGGCAAAACGAAAAAGAGGCCAAAACAATTGATAGAATTCGCAAGTGAGACCATCGAGACCAGGTGATTTATTTTGGCCAAGTTGCTTGACAGCAGCATCGAGTTCCTCAACGGTCAGAAGGTACTCTAAGCTTTCTGTATCGTCACAATTTAGTTTATTAAGATTATTTAAAAGCGGGTCAAAGGCGCCCTCGTCAGTCGGCCAAAGAGAGTACAGGGAAGAATAGAAATCACGGACATTATTCCTTATTTTCACCGGATCCTCGGTGATTGACCCCGAAGTGAGCCGTTTTTGAGATACGGGTTTAGACAAAGAAATCGAATTTTCCAATTTGAAAAATAAGAAGAGCTGGAATCGACTTCGGTAGTGTGTTTAAATCGTGATCTGACGAGGGCGCCCTGCGCCTCAATTTTCCAAAGAGTGTTTTTCTTTTGTTCGTTTAGAAATTTCAAGAGTTTTTGGCGTGACATCCGGCTTAGACTGCAAGTCGTCAATTAATTTGGTTAATTTTGGCAAAATTGACAGGTTTTTCTTTGGCAACTTTGCTGCTATACATTTGAGTAATTGTTTAAATATGAATCTTTTCGAGCTCCCACAACGACCTAAGATCAGAAAAATCAGAAATTTGGTCCCTCCAGGCTTTCCAAAAGGACCGGATGATATCAATAAAAAAATGGTTTTCTAAAAGTGAATTATTAAAGTGCCAATATGCACTTCCTTTCTCTCTAACGCTGGGAGGTTTCAAAGAAAGGAAAACAGCGGAGTGGTCCGAGAGAAAACAGGGGATAGTTTTTCAAGATTGTACAGATGGGAGAAGACTGGAGTCAGAGTAAAAGCGATCCAACCTGGCTTGGGATTTTCCGCAAGGACGGGAGGGATTATTCATAGACCAAGTAATTTTTTGTCGGACGGGTGCAGTCCCCGCCAGATATCGCAAAAAGACAGCGCATTGATAGCGTTTGTGAGAGCCGTGGAGATTTGGCGCCTGTGCTCAGTTGGCGTACACAGACAATCAATAGAAGGACATTCAGTGCAATTGAAATCGCCTCCCAGAACAACGACCCATTACATTTTCAAAAACGTTAACGTTGTAAGTGCCATTTACCGAAGACCAAATTGGAGAAATACCTCATTGTAGATTTTGTTCATGACTCTCGGTACGCAGGAGAATACAGTTGGTCTCAAGACAGCAATATCACTCATGAGTTTCTTTGGATCTCCCCGGTAGAACCCCACGCATCCACCGCAGGCGTACATACAAGCCTTCCAAAAAGAAGGATGCGACAAGTGAAAAGTTTTTTATTGTTTACTTTCGTCATGAAAAAGAAAATGTAGTGGCCGTATCTGATCAAGTATAACATTGTCAACTGACGAATCACAACTCAAGGCAGCATAACACCGATAGCCCTTACACTGTGGCGGCGCAAAACAGAGATTTATAGCTACAAGAGAAAGGGAGATGATAGTTAATGGCAATGACAATGATATTTAATTGGTAAATAGAAAAGTATCATAAACATTGCAGGGAGATCCTACCTGTACAAACCTTTCGTAGATATGGGCGAGCGGAAGGTAAGATATATAAACATCTTCTCTATACATCCCCATCAAATCATTCATCTGCGGAGATTAAAAACAATGCTTTTTTACATAAAATTAATTGACTGAATTATAATTTGTTCGTGAAAAACACTTACTTTCCTTGTTCGACAAGAAAAGGAGTATTGGTGCCATTGGTTACCGATGTTTTTATAGACAGTTTTCAAGTATGGTTATAGTTTACGTACTGACGGCCAAAAAGGCGCCCTAAGTTACTAGACAACGGCAAATCAAACCTCCTCCAAGTGGCGCTGCAGCGACGTCATGTTTAGGATGAAAACATACTGCTTATCCACAGGTATTGACGTTATTTTGAAAGTTGCTATATTTAAAAAATGACAATCTGTATAGGTTTGAGATTAAATTACGTTTGTGCTGGAACATTATATAAACGTTATAAATCTACGAAGTGGCCTTTTACAAACAGACAATTTTGCTGCGGCAGGTACTACACTCCTATAGAATGCCTGTCAACAATGACTAACCCCAGCGAATGCGAACATTCCGCCGAACATTCCGCTGACAGACGCCAGAATATTTCCGTGAGTGAGCATGACACCCTTTGGATTACCCGTCGTACCGCTGGTATAGCACAATGTGCTTAGGTCGTCATAGCCTGGAGGCTGGAAAAATATGATAAATGTAAACACTAAGATGGTTCATGAATGGAGTCTGAGCAAATGTTGTAACAGCACAATGTATAGGAAAATCTGAAATCCACCAATTGCAACAATGACCCGATAACGGTTGGCAGGTTGTCATTGAGACTTCATACAGTGTACTCTAAGTATGCTTTCGAATTTCATGAATGATCACGAATACTTTGATGGAATCAAACACTATTCTAGTACCGGACTTATAGCTAGTTTACTTACCACTTTCTCCTGCGGGTTATTTGCACCAAGTTTCTGCAAAATGCGCCAGACAAAGACCGTTATTAATTAATATTTTCTCAAAACAAAAGGTATTTGACTGCAGTACGTAACACCAATAAAGCATAACTAAATTTATATCTCTTCGAGGAATTGAACATTGGGCGTTTCTGCAATATGTTTTTCTATGAGTGTATGCTTTTTATGTTTTGAACACAGCGCCATGACGTATTTTACTGTTCTTGTAGTTTTTCAGATAAAAGACTGTAATACAGTTTCAAGATGGTGCCATAAGACCACTGTTGACGTCATCACTGTTGACAGCCAAGCCTTGGGGTCTTTGTCCTGTCCTAGTTTGAAGTCAATCTGATTGCATTTTATGTCAAAAAATATTACTGATAGAAGAAAATATAAAAGGTTTAAAAATTAACAAAAAAATCAGGCGATGATGTCATCATGACGTCATTCAAAATGTGCACATTAGTAACCGTATCTACCTACCCACCAATTTTAAGACAATCAAACTTACCCTTTCATGTGTTTTGAAAAATCGCATTGTTGATGACGTCATCATGACGTCACACATTTCCCAAAATGTTGTGCATGCATGTATTACCTTACGAACCTAATACAAAAAGAATGTTGAATTTAGCATGTTGGGTTCGAGAGATATAGTGATAACCTTCAAAAATCTATATGGTATCAAATGATGACGTCATGATGACGTCACCCCAAATTTTGCCTAAAGACATCCCGGTCTATCTAAAATATGCACCTTTAAGATGGTTTCACTCTTCTACGTCACTCTTCTACATAGGTCTTACCTGTAAGGTCTTTGTCTATCTTAAGTTTCGTTGGCAAATAACTTAGGTTTATGTCTAAAGTGTGACTTTGGTTTATGTCTAAAGTGCAGGCCGGAATAAAACATGCACAAAGTTTAGGGATAAAACTAAAAGAAACAAGATCGGAACAAAAACAAATGCTTTTCCGCTTTTAAGCGGAAAAGCCAAACTTGACCTTCTCCAAATTTGCACCAAATTATCGTAAACTCGCTTGCAGTCGCGTTGCGTCGTAAAATTACACATATGCTATTGACCCTTGTATAGCGCGCCCTCACAGAGAACAGGTCTTTGTTTCTCTGTACTACACATGGATAGACACATTGAAATGTCATTGTCAATTTATTTAGATAATTAAATCTGTCCTCAGAAAATTGCCTTTAGCTGTATGCTACGGTAGCAAAAACTTTGAACTTGTTAAAATATGAAACACATGACTCTTACCAGAACGTCTTCAAAGCGCAGAATTTCTATCTGGGATTCTTCAGCCTTGGCTATCACCGAGTCTGTGGCGTCATCGATAAGCACAATCGTCTTCAATCCCGGCATATCTCCTGCCTTGTTCAACAGAAGCTCGGCTCTTGATGACGTATCACACACCACGAGACTCAACTCGACTGCATGAAAGGTTGGATGAGACCATTTAGGGATTACTTTCACTTAAATTCATGTTGGACAGATTTTTTGACAACACGTGTACTGGTGTCTAATGGTAATCGCATATATACCTCACATATGCCCGAAAAACCCAAACAAACCACATTTTGACCTCACACATTTGTCACATTTTTGTGCAAACATAAATGATCCATTTAATATCCATTACAAAATTATTTTGAATTAAACATTTTGCGTTCAAATGAAATGATGAAATCATCATGACATCAAGTCTAGTTTTACATTCTGGTTTACCTTACAAGCTTCAACCCAGTTGCATTTGTATTTCTCAAGAAATAGGACCTTAACATTTGCATCCTTAAGATGACGCCACCGTCGCCACGTGACTCATGATGATGTCATTACGACGACACCCTTCGGTACACAAGTTCACTGTAGGGTTTTACATAGGTTAAGTTTTAAAAGAAAACGATATTTTTTTAGGTCAGGTTTTCAGAGGAATCCGACTTGATTTAGGTCAAAAGTGCCTGCCTGTGACAATGTGTAACAAGAAGCTACGGCGAAAGTGCATAAGTACCATCTGCGCAATCAATTACTAAATCCCCTTCATTCAACTTTTGGTCAAAGTTATGCAGGCACTTAAACTAGCAAATGACAACTGTTTATGAAACAAAAGCCACAAGCCTGATTCGTTGCTGGTCAGCAATAGGACTTTCTTCGAATCAGAATTTTGTTGAATATCAAAATTTTGTCGTTAATAGGCAAAATATAAAACCAACCTTGGTTGACGATATACTGACACACGTCTGGTCCTAATGTGTCGTACAGTGGCACGATGACCATGGAATACATGTTACACGCTTGCTCGGTCACCACCCACTGGAATAATAACAGCAAATCATACAATTACATAATGAAATATATTACGATATAATATTAATATAAGCAGTACAAGTAGTTATTAACCATTTTTTGTAACATTCTAGTTTTTGTTGTTGGCTTATGCTTGACTTGATATAAATTATCTTTAGCCAAAAACGATTGTCCAACAATAATCAGTCAATAAACTAATAATCAATATCACTGTCTTGGTGGTTCACAGCTCTGAACTATAGTTCCCGACACATTGAATCGTCGACATGATTCCATTGCGTATGCTTGTTATCAACAGCGTCCTAATTCCTTTTGTCAATAACCAAACATTTTTTTTAGCATTGGTTTAATCAACTGGTTTGATAACATTGGACATACCTCTACCCTATTCTGCGAATAAATGCCGATGGACGTCTCATTCCCAGCCGCCATGCCATTCTGGATCATCCCCGAACCAAAATTTCTGGCTCGTGTGTGAACCTTTGTGAAAAAACAGAACTAATGAAAGCCACAATGCATACATTTATGATCACAAGAAATTATGACTTTGAGCGACATTATTGAAAATGTATCGTTTACTAAGAAGCATTATTTAATGATAACTAGGCACACTCTACAATTTCATAGCCCAGTTTTGACAAAACATTTCTGGGAAGTAAATAAATGGAATTCTAATGAGCCGACATGCATTCTGAAGAAACGAAATGAGCCCATCTCTGTGCCATGAATCAGCCGAGTCCCAAGCTCAGAATATTTGGGGGCTATACAGTACCAGCTATAGCTAGCTAGCTGGTGTTCCCCCTAGCTAGCTATGAGAAGCGCCACAAGAGTAACACACTAAAACATACACTTTTGATGCTGATGGTGTTTGCCGGGGGGGGGGGGCAATTGCTTGCCAGGCAGCGACCCCTCGCCAGTGTACTAGGGCTAAAATACGGTTTTGCAGTGAAAGAATGCAATAACTGTAAATTATAAAAGTTTCAAGTGAAAAAATGCCACTATTTGCCAAGACTGCGTTTGTTTGTAGTTATTCAGCATTATCGACATTTATTTAATTGGATTAACATCGAGATTTTTTAGACCGTGTTAAAAAAAGCTTCACTCGAAAACAAAAAGAAAATTATCAATCATTAGTAATTTCCTCTAAACGTGTTTCTCTCGAAACAGTACGGCCAATTTTCCTCATTTGACGAAACAAATGCTACTTGTTCTTAGCAGCACTTTTTATTGAAGCTTTGTAAAATAAGCCTACCTCATTGTATGTAATCCAGGAATAAGGACTGTCTGGTTCCGGTCTCCATCCTAAACACGGGTCGTTAGCTAACGGACGGACAAAAAGGTAACATGGCATCATGGAAAGCCTGCTCGTTTTAAATGTCCTATCTAGTGACCGCTACATGCAATTTTTTTTTTTTAAAGTAAAGCAGATCTCAGGATAGCGTATGGAATGTCTCCTTGCACAGAAAAGGGTCTGTAAAATTCGAGCATATTCAGCGATTAATTATGCAAAACAAGACTGCGTCTTGACCTCGGATTCTGACCATTCGGCGGAAGCCTTCTTTTGGGTCTCCAGTAACCCGTTGTGTTACCAAAAAAAACCCATGACAGCCAAATTGACCATCAATGGCTCAGTCGCATGAAATTTGCATAGCTCACATGATCAGACGTTGGTTACGGAGAGAGCTCCGTTGGACAACGGGTGAGACGCAGACTATTACCTCATAAATATAACGAGCAAAGCCTACTCAAGACATTTTGTACCAAATATTCTGTGAAATTGTTCCACCTATAATGATTTCATTCAGAAGAAAACAAGTATTGCAATTGGGTTTAAATAGCGTGCCCGCGTTCAACCTGTTGCAAGTATATTACCAACGGAATTCAGACCGAAAAGACAAGAAAGATAAAAAAAAAACCAATTGTGCATAATCATATTTTGTCTTTTTTTCTATAAAAATGTACAGTTGCCACTCAGCTAAATCTTCTACAAGTTAGTTTTAAGTACTCTTATACTTAATATTTTAGCAAATGATCCTACATACCTTTACGATAAAGATAGATTGAAAACACTGAAAAGAACCCACCCATTGTAGACCTACGGTAGTACGTTACATCGATGTACTTTTCCCGTTGTGTTTGGGAAAAAAGAGGAGGCCACTCACCAGAGCTTTTCAATCCACGCATGAAACAGTCATGGAGAGATTCCACATCGTCGAAAAACTTTGAGATGAGTTTACCATCAGGGAGCAGTGTGGACACTCTCTCGTGTTCCGTTGTGCCCTATACATGCGTAGAATAAGCAGAAAACTGAAAACGTTACCAGTGAAAGAATCGAACGCAGTCAACTTTGTGAGTTCCAAAATGAGTTTGGTAAAAGTAACCAAGAGTTACCATGACTTCGGTAAAAAATATTTGGAAACTCTTCGTCTTGTTTTCACATAAAATGATTAGGTCAATATATAGGTGTGTGACGGTAACAATCTTTCTCCAAAGTCACTAGCCTTAGTAATTCTAACATTTGCGCCCGACACTATACGTCAGTGTTGAAGTTTAGTCCATTACCTCGAACGGGGGTGTGTCACAACAAATTTGTTGACAAACCATCCAGGTGATTAACAGGTAGAAATGATTTTTTCCCCGGAAACTCACTTTCCGTAGAACTGAAAGGGGGGGGGGGAGGCTGGACAACATCTTTCTATAGGGAACGAGTTTTGAAGTGACTACCATGGACACTATCGGACCCGGGAAGCGGTCATGGCCGCGGCCGCTAATCCTCATTGGAATGCAGTTGCCAGCTGTGGTATGCCGTGGCACACGGCTAGTGGGTAGTTCCACAGCTGCTGCTTTTGTGCAGTCCCGCTACCACACAAAGGCTGTGCAGTCATGCGGGCCACTTGCTCTATGTGTGGAGGAATGTCCCCATTATGACCCGTGCTTAAGGGGTTAACCAGGCACATTTGCCGACGGACACACGACTTTGCCGAAAGGACACTTTGGCCAACAACAGTGCAAGCAACATGTATTCAAAGGAACTGTGACAAAAGCATTCCTCTGTTTCTCTTGACCAGACTTGTAAATTGACCTGTGATTCATTGAGACTCACTTTTGATTGGCTTGTGATTGATTGACAACAACAACACTACATTAAGTGTGCGATTCTTTACCCTTCTTGTCATGCCTTTAAAACGGGGTGGGTCTCTGGAATGACGTCACGCGGATCGATTAAAAAACCGACCGTGTGTACGTCCTTACCCTTCTTGTCGTGCCTTTAAAAACCATAAGGGTGGGAAATCTCGCCCCATGGCCAAAAAGTGGTAGCAGTACGTTAGTAGTGAATAGTGCGTATTTGACCTCGTTTTCCGGTGGAGGATCATGATCCTCATCGAGGATCATATCGATAACCCAGATGAGATCATAAAACGGGGCGTGTCTCTGGCGTAGTGACGTCACAGATCGATGGACAAATCGATCGTGGGAATTAGCGTTGAATGAGTATTGTTGGTTTAGATAATTGGTTACACAAAAGAAAGGGTATACAGACGGCTATTAGGGAGAGCACATAGCGAGCGCACTTTTTAAGTGGGTTTTTGTATGCCGGTTCCCTATGAGGAGGCAAATATACACATAAATTATGTGTATATTGGATGCTTATTAAGTACAGGCCTTTTATAGCATATAATTTGTTTTTCTTCTTCTTTTCTTTGCTTTTTTTATGCTTGATGATATTGATTGGACCAAAATTGAAAATTTCAATATCTGAAATAATGGAAATACCGCAATGCCTTATTTCAAATAGGTGAATGGGTGTTGTGAAATTAGTAAATGTAACTTCATAAAAATATATGGAGGCGTTTGAGTTATAAAAGACGACTAAACAAAGAGATACGAGACACGTCAAATAAACACAGCATCTCATTTTACATTCTCATTTACAAGTTCGTGTCAACAGTATATTTTATTTCACACCACACTCAATCAATGACACTTTAATGACTTCTACATAACGATATTTTTGCGCTTTTGTTGCTCACTTGATCATGTTTTGCTTGTTTCATTCTTGCTCATTTTTTGCTCTTTTCTTGCTTATTTGCTCATTTCTTGCTCATTTCCTGATCAATTCGTGCTAATCTGCTCATTTGGCCGACCATCCGCATATCTCTTTTCACTGGTCAAAGAATGAGCATAGCAACAATTTGTGACTGGCCGGCGAAATGAGCAGATGAGCAAGAATTGATCAGGAAATGAGCAAGAAATGAGCAAATGAACAAGAAAAGAGTAAATGAGCAGGGTATGAGCAAATGAGCAAGAAATGAGCAAGGAAAGAACAAGTTAGCAAGAAAGACCAAGTGAGCAAGAAAAGAGCAAGAAATGAACAAATGAGCAAAAATGAACAAGGAATGAAACGAGCAAAAAATGATCAAGTGAGCAAGAAAAGCGCAAGAATATCGTTATGTAGAAGTCATTAAATTGTCATTGATTTAGTGTGGTGTGAAATAAAATATACTGTTGACACAAACTTGTAAATGAGAATGTAAAACGTGATGCTGTGTTTATTTTATGTGTCTTGTATCTCTTTGTTTAGTCGTCTTTTATAACTCATAGGCCTCTATATATTCACTACGCCAGAAACAAACCCCGTTTTATGATCCTCGTCTGGGTTACCGAAATGATCCTCGATGAGGATCATGATCCTCCACCGGAAAACGAGGTCAAATACGCACTATACACTAATTACTTTTCTGAAAATGGCAGGAAAGATACGTTGCATTTCCTTCTTCGTCACATTATAAAGCTAAGTATCCATCTTAGTATCCAAAATCGGGCTAGACAAATTTCAACTTGCCCTTTACTTCTACTGCCTCTGTCTAAAGGGCAGCAGCGTATAGCCAAGGTGTTGGTAGAGAAAGTGATAGGTATATACAATACGGTCAGTACCTCCACTTCCACCGACTGACATTTCAGGTCCAACGTCTTCAGTCCAAGCTTGCGATGCTGTTCTAGCACTCCACTACTTGTCATGGTGAACGGTTTGTCTGTGATATATCCTGTACCAAAACAGTGAATTGTGTTTTTTTTCCCCATGCATCACCATCAGAGCATCCTATGTTGAGGATGTACAAAATGGTGGTGAGTAGAGGATAACAGGCGCGGTTTCTTTAGTAATACATACAATCATAACTAAACTATTTCAAACATCTTAAATACTGCAAAATATCCCATTTGATTGTATGTAAATAATAGGATCAAGCATTCTTTGAAACCGTTGCTCCTACTGTGCTGTCAATTTTAAAGAGGAATTTATTATCATTCCCTCGTGTTATGGGCCAAATACTGCTTCCAACTGACCAAATTTAGTTCCATTTGCAATAGGCTATCCGTGTTTGAGATTTTCTGAGTTAAAAACCTGGGAAACATACTTCAAAACGGTGCAAGTTCAAATGTATTGTATCAAGCATGGTCGCATGGTGACGAGTTTTCGAAGTCGCGAGCTAGGTGACTGGAGTTCACCCGAAGATCGGTTCGAAGTCACAGTCGGCGCGCTTTAAATAGATCTCAAGCTTCCGTAATACGAGTCTGGTTCCCTGACCCATAGAGTTATATTAAAAAAACTAGAGCGCGCATTTACTATACTGCACGCACAATGCAGACGTGCCACCATGTAGTCCTCGCCGCCATTTTGTAAGTGGGCAAAAAATACCCGGATGTGCACACTTCAGGATTGACTGCAATGCGTATCTTTCGCGGTGTTGGCCGTTTACAGCCCTCAGGCTGTTTCATGTTTGTAGAGCTATCCGACAGTCTGCAGTATTAGAAAATCTTTGCGGTTTCCCTAGGTTTATAGCATATATGTACAGGATTTCTGATGGACGAAGTGACCCAGGAAACATGAAACTAATCGGGCGGGGGGGGGGGGGGGGAGGGCGCAACTAGTCATCTTGAGAGACATTTGGCTGATGTTTTTCTGTTTTCAAGTTAACGTGATCACTGCTCAGTAACATTTCCAAATACCATGTCAAAGAGGAATTTTCAAAGGCAAAATAGAAAAGCATCAGAGTGTAGTGCACACTGAGAAAAAAATAAAACCTTATGAATGTTAAGGTTCCTAGATCAACATGTTTTATTACAGCCAGCGCTGCAAACAGACGTGATGGAATTCCTGTAATGTCAAAAATTGAAAATGAAAAAAAAATAAAAATAAAATAGAAGCCATCGCAATCTACAGGAAGATCCAGCAAGTCTGCAAGTGTGGAATAATTTCTGTTCAGATAAGCAAATGTTTCAAGAGAAAGGTAATTTTTTTTTTTACTGTTGGTTACATTTATAAATCGCCCCGACGATACCTTGTTTTACCGTGCTGTTTTGCCTAACGTTATGTGTTGTGCGCATGTGCTTTGCCCACTTACAAAATGTCCTTGCCAGCACAGGGTCACGTGATGAGTGCGCTCTCTCGTTTTTTTTAAATATAACTCTATGCCCTGACCTGACAATTTCCCCCGACGCCCAGACGTCTAAATTGTAGGTCAGGCAGCCTCCGCAGCTAAAGATGAACATGACGACATTAATTGCCCTTTTTTAAAGCTCGGCTTCGTTTCCGAATTCGTTTTATCACTTAATTATAGCTATTAATTATGTTCCGATCAAATTAAAAAAAAAAACGTTACCTGCTTCATATGCCATACAATTTGATATTTTTTAAAGAAAACATTGACGAAGGTTGACCCGTAATTGTAACTGTTAGGGACCCAAATGTCATCTTAGCAGGCGAAGCCAAAAATGAGACCACGCCGAGTTTTGGAAAAATCCCGCTACGTTACCCGCTCAAATAGCCGATTCCGTCATTTAATCGGTCACATGACGACCAGTCAAATAATGTGAATGTCAACCATTTGCGATGGGTGCGAAAACATCAAACATGTTTGGTATCATCCGGTCGCCCGGTATATACTCAGATCGGTCTGAATTTTCAGCGCACACTCAGGGAGGGGAATGGTGGCAATAGCTTTTCCTAGAAATGGAACTTGTAACATTAACCCTAACTCCCTGGGGTGTACGTGTGAAAAATTGAATTAAAATTTGAGGATTCAGGACTGTTAAGGGTCAATGAAAGGCTATATATTTGGAAATAGAGGTTTTGCTATTTTAGGGCCGTCATACACGAGACAATTTTCCATTCAACTTGTTTGAGGCAAACTAAAAGAAGAAATCTACACACAAGTCATAGTATATAGTCCATGGTCTGCATGGGAAATTTCCTGTTGGGAAAGTGCACTCTGTGTTTGCAGATAAAATTTTTAAACTCCAAAACATTTTGTTACCTTCGCATTTTATGTGAAAATTAACTAGTACCACTCAATTTCCTTCTCTGCACTTCAGGCCCACTCTGAACGTCGAACTTCTGCCGTGTCGAATTCAAATGATGGCCCAAAAATTGACATTATTTGAATTCGACACGGTAAAAATTCGACGTTTAGAGCAACTGCCGACCTTCTGCCTTAGGTTCGGCAAGGCTTGCCGCTCAAAACGGCAGAAGAGCGGCAGTGCTCTAAATGTCGAATTTCTGCCGTGTCAAATTCAAATTGCACGTCCCAATTCAGAAACACAGTGGTCTCGTTTCAAAGCGCGCATAGCCGTGCATAGCCCGCCCGCCGGGCCAGCTGTTTTCAGGTCAGCATTAAAACAAGATGGTGGCGCCCATGAAAGTTTCGTGGAGTGACGAGGATCTTCTGTCTGAAGGTCATTCATCTTAAATGACCGAATTACGTTCGGCAGAAAACCGGCGTTTTTGGGCAACTGCCGCACTTCTGTGGCTTTTTTGTCGAATGCAATGAATTGAATGCGACACGGCAGAGTTTCGACGTTTAGAGCGGCAGCTAGACCCATTATGTGTCTCAAATACGAACGGGGTCATACTGGCCTTCCTCCGGATAATTGAGCCACGTGCTGTTGATAGCCTTTGTGTGAGGAATTAAAGTTGTCTCTATGGAAATCGAAATCGGGAATGTTTTGTCCACTTCATATAGACTTTGGCGGATACTTACCTAGTTAATAACCATGGAAAATCAGAAAGTCAAGTGTACAAGACCTGTATCCCCAAGAAAAATACTGCATTTTTTATTCACCTCACTTAAAATTTCGCCTGAAAATTACAGGATAACTAGACATATGCAGAAGCATAATATATTATCTTCAATAGTGACTTTCAAGTGCAAATAGAAAACAGTCACGATTTCGCTTTTCTGAAAGGCAACTTTCCTTAAATGTAGGCTATCTCCAGCTTGAGGCCATCACTAACAGAGAGGAAGCCCAGTACTTGAGCCACATTCATGGTGCCAACTACGAAGGAAGTTCAGTACTATTGGGGGCACATTTATGGGTGCTATCTTTAGTAAAACATATCGTGGTATTATCAGCAGCAGTAGTGCATTCTAGATATTAAGAGATTGGCTGGTCATGATCAGAAACGGGCAAGGTCAACTCGTACCAAGGTCAACTCATACCTCAAATTTGCACAAAGTAAACTCTTTGCAGTTATATCACACACCTGAATAATGTTAGATGGATCTCTGAAAACAAACATTTGCTTACCAACGTAGAGTACAACTTACGGCTAGAGTGGTCATAATTATATGAGTCAGTTACTTACCCAACTCTCACAGAAACTAAAATTACATTGGTTTTTGGAGGTGCTCAGTTTCAACAGCAACAGTGGATTCCACGCACAAGGAAACACTCTCGCTTATAGACCACTTTTCACCGTAGTAGTTAGCGCACACCTCGCACAGATAAAATCAGATTAAGTTGAAAGGAGGGTTATACTCTGGCTGAAGCTACACGACCCGATTTCCCCTGATGTATAGAGACACAGTTCAATGATTCCACAGAACCGTGCCACGTACTATATATCCATAGGAAACATTGAACCGTGTCTCAAATGCAGCCAACTGGAATGTCCCTACCAACCCCTGGTCCACATTGTCAGATGGCAAATTATTTGGATGGTTGTTCAGCGCCCTCTACATACGATACTTTTATCATACTTACGCAGGTGTATACCACATATGTCATGAATTACGGTGTGCTGTCGAACTCTCCAATGCCTCAGCTGGGAAATGCCCTGGTTTTGTGATCGGAGGGTGTGAGTTTGAAACCAAACGTTTCCATTTTTTTTCTCTTTTCTAATTTGCGGCTTTGGAGGAGTTTTTTTCATTAAAGGGAAACAAAGTCCGAATTTCATTAGGTTCGAATTCATTTCTTTTTTTTCCTTTACATATTTCCCCCCATGTTTTAGAGAAGTAAAATCCAAAACCTGATAGCGTATACCCCATTTGCTTATGTCGTTTGGGGAAAAAACGGGGCCAGGTGTGCTGGTCAATCCATTCAGCTGCAGCCAACCAGATCTGGAATGCCCACACCAACCCTTGGTCCAGCTGGCCAGGTGTAGTTGTCTCGCCTTAGTACACCAGTCGAATTCGTCACCTCTAACCTACTACAGTAACAATTGGAAATCTTGGACCAGTGCTGAAAACGGAACTAGCTCCTTTAACTACGAATGGTCATCGGGTGACCTCAGGCTGCGCAGCCTTTAGTCAAGGCCCACGCGTCTTGATCCGGACACATGACGAGCCCCGGATGCTGGCACGTAAAGAAAATTATCCAGCGAGTCTGGGCCTTGACTAAAGGCTACAGGTAGCGGTGCGCGTAGCTCAATTCAATCGTCGCCCCCCCCCCCCCCCCCCAGTCTATGCTATGGTCTATTTATGCGTGAACAGATTCGCTGATTAATTAGGCAAGACCCCTCCTCTTTTCCTCTTCATTTTGACCAATCAGCGGGCGCTTTCTATATTGGGTCTTCTGTCATTCAACCGTTGTGCGTTATAGACAAGGGATACAAACAATTGTGTCACGCACTCTGTATCATGTTACGCGGTATAACGCCTGGCTGTTGTTGTATTACAAAACACTGCATTCGAATTGATCAATCAAACCATTTAGTCCTGATTAAGGAATGAAATGACGTTACGATATTTAGGTCAACTCCGATTGGCTGGCGCGCGTCTTGCATAATATCTACATGTCTAGACATATCAGACGTTATACAGGACTTGGCTCCGAGGATAACGAGTGATACACAGACCCCCCCCCCCCCCCCCACTGGAAATTGTCAAATCGGAGAAATTCAACATTTATGATTAGCGGGTTTAACCGAATGTGTTTTGTTAATTCACATTGTTAATTAAGTATTGCGAAAAACCTGTTTTTCGCGAAAGTCAAGAACAAAGATGGCGGAGTTTGGCCTCATTCAGTGCAGGAGCAGAAACGATTAATAACGACATTGAACGTGTTAAAGAGTGGGCTTGTAAACATTATGTTTGCCAATTTTAAAGCTGTTTTATTATGTTCAACTATTTTGTTATAAAATCATCTAATTGTCCCGTCTTTTCATTCGGCGTTTTGATCAGACGGCTGCCATGCTGCACGCGATTTTGTTTTCTTTAATCGGTTGCTCAAATGTCATGCATAATTCAGTTTGTCGTCGATATCATTGCAAGACACTTAGGTTCTCGTTCTCTTTTTTTCCCTTAACATAAAATTACCTCAACGATAAATTCAGGAAAGAAAAACAGTCAAAATTGCGGGGTAACACCATAGGGAAAGAAATCTCTTCTTGGAAGAAGTGTGGTTCTGAAAAGAACCGGTTGGTTGAGTGTAGAACTGGACGTTTCGGGACAGTGTGCTCGTCCTCAGAAGGGTGAGATACAAAAGTGAGTCACCCTCCTGAGGACAGACAGATCCGAAACTTCAAAAACCACACTTCTTCCAAGAAGATATTTCTTGCCACATGGTGTTAGCCACAATTTTGTCATCCGACATGCAAAGCTTCAAGTGATTGTATAGAAACATAGTCGATGAAAATGAGCTGCGACGACGTTAATTCGAACCAAGGATCTTTGTATCCATAGCTCATCACGCTATTCACTAGGTTACTGTGATGTACCTCGATGAGGATCGTACCTGAAAATGCTTTAAAGGTAACTGATTGACTAAATAACAACAACACTCTTGATATCATTGTCCTGATCCCTCCGAGCAGCGAAGTGGTGATTTCATTCTCCACATTTTCATGAATAAATATACTGGCCCGATCAAGACTATTGAATTACTCATGACTTTGGAGCAACCCACCCACGGAAAAGAAATTCGCATGCTGCACTCAACACACACTTGGGCGATCGTATTCGGCAACCAGAGAAAACTGTTCGCAGGTCCCTCGACAACGGGCTTCCGAATACGCCCAAAATGTCTGTCGAACGGTAATTTGAGCTTGTTTCATTCAAAATAAAATATTACGTAAACCTTACAAATCGACCGTAGCAACCGTAAGGCTGCACAGATTTGAATTCCCACATCAAAGCAACATGTACAGGAAAACAAATATATTTGATTACATATTATATATTTCACACTAAATGTTTGCAAATGTTCTTGATGAAACCCCCCCCCCCCCAAAAAAAAAAACCCGCGTTTTCCTAAGGTAATCACGTGGGTATTTATACTGTATTTGTACTATAATAACGGGTGTTTATATAGCGCTTTTAACTACATGTATATCAAAACATTTTTATTACCCCTGTAATATACCACTGTACAGAATATCAAGGGAAGACAGACAACTTCGAAGTAATCAACGGTAAGTGTCTTTGTTAATACTCGATAAGAATGTATAACACTATTTAATATAATATAAAAACCCGCAATATATTTGCCATGATGATTTATGCCTGCGTCTGAACAGATCCATAATTAAAACCATATCGTTTAACGTCAGGCTTTGACTTAGTAATGTATGATAAACAAAGAAAAGAAAAGGAAAGTTGGCCAACACCGGTTGAATGAACAATCTAGCTCAATAAAAAGGAAACAAATAAGTTGTCAGTAAATGCATCTACATACTATCAAGATGGTTTCCAAATGTTACATTTCAAGTGTTTTGCCAACTAAGTGGCCTGGTTTCCTGAAAAATAGTTAAATAATATTTTCACTGCCCATAAAAAACAGAAATACCACCAATAATTGTTTATTTTTACAGGCTCCTTATTAAATGTTTGAAGATTTCGTGAACACTTAATTTCTCAAATATTGTTTAAATTGAGTACCAATACCTTTTTGCATACAGCGAAAAGAAATAAACGTGTACTTCTTGTTTATAAATCTTATATATTTTCTTTTACACAATCTTTCATTCAAGAGAGGTACACAAAGCCTTACTACTACAGTTTGGCCCAAAGGGACTCAAGTTTGAAGAAATGTTCGTGAAAAAATGTTCGTGAATATTAAATGAAAAAAGTACAAGTATGCACTATTAATACTATGAAAAACGGGTGTTTCGGAGGTTCCGACGTGACCTGCTCACATCCTGTCAACTCGCACGTGAAGTCAACAAATGCAGAAACCTTTAGTTTTCATGATAGTGTTCAAAAGAGGAATTGACAGCCTGGAGACTGGTTTGGCTATAACCTCTTCCCATTCTGGCCAACATGCAAACAGTTTACCTTTTGGTTTAAACTATAATTTTTCGCGACATTTCTGCGACTTGTCGATACATAGCAACCCTACCTATTTTTTAAAACCAATTTCACGTTTTGTGATTGACTTGGCTGGCTTTCCACCATGGACGCTTCAAAGCCCGCTATGGTATTTCTCACACATAATTCATTGCTCTTTAGTGAGGTGTTCAGAGCTGTACAAAACAAACGTGTGATGGGCGTTCAGACATGGAAGCGTACCGGCAATGGCTACCAGAACGTCACCATGATTTCAAAATAGGATTGGCGTACAATATAACTCAGCACCACAGTAAAAGTATAATACAAATCCCACACATACATGTAATCTCCATCTAAGGTTTTCCCAAATCTAATTAATCCTAATTTAATTAATCATGTCTAGCACGTTAGCTTTCTTTTATACTCGCTGTACGAGATTCAAGTTTTCGGTTTCAACACGAATTCAAGATGAGGTTGATTTTTTTTTACTGAGAATGACCACCACACCCAGCAAGTCTCTGAATTGACAGTAGCGCAATTGAATCACTCTCTTAATGCATAATGTATTTATTGAATCGAGCTTGTTCGCCACATTGCTTTGGTAGTAATATTATAGCTGACATTGTGAGAGAATCAATCCTATCTTAAAACCCGGTATTTTATTTTACGGTGCCAGAAAGAAACAAGAGTGCTTCCCCCTTTAATTAAAGATTGTTTCCCATTTCATAAGGCACGCTTTCCATTCTCGTTAATTTGATTTGTCTGTACAGGTTCGCAATGTGGGCATCATAATGTTTCCTCAAGATCGGACGCTTCGACTTAAATGTAGGCGTGAGCAGGTTGTTCTCCACACTAAACAGCTCGGACTCCAAGTAAATGTTCTTTACCTGTTAAAAATATCAGGCTCAAATAGTCATCGTGCTTCAACAATTTGTTTTATGTTACTTACATAATTATTTACATAAAGTTTATGTAATATTTGGAAAGTCAAACGAGACTTGAAGGTTTGCAGGTTGGACATATGGTTTTATTTACTAGTTTTGTTTGGTAAGTCAGTCAAATGATTTTGAATATTTTATTATTCCCACTTTTTCCTCTTTTATAGACAAAAATGTGGAACTTATTAAAATAGGTTTTTGTTTTTTGTATCAAGTCTTCTTAAATGAATGAATCGTAACCCTGTTAATGGGGAAGACGGGTACCATATCATTACCTAAGACACATATAGCCCAACGCGAAGAAAAGCTGTCAGAAATTGAACCTACCTGCTCGAAACTGAACAGTTTGGCTTCTTTTCCAACTTTCACCATATCTTCAAGAATTGCGTTCTTAATGACCTGTATGGGGACACCAAGAACATATCATAACTTCACTAAATACATGTAATGGAACGGTTTTTGCGAGTAAGGCAATCCAGTGCATTGTCCATTGATAAAAAAGAATGTATTCTTAGAACACAGAAAAAGCTAAGTTCCATAATGTCTGCTGTTGCGACATAAGGCTTGAAATATATCAACGATAGGCCTGGTGAAGGAACATCCACTGAGGGCGCCCTACATAAAGTGTAGTGTATTCCTGTATTTTCCCGTGACTTACCTCGCTGCCACACAAGTCTTTAAAGTCGCCTTGCACACCTTTAGCCTTGCCAAGTTTTGGCAATACATCCTCGTCAGGGACCACGATGGCGATTAGGTGTGACTGTATAAAGACGAAAACCAACTTTTTTTTTATAACCATTCGGGCATACAAAACGATGTTTACAAGAACAGCAAATGGTAAGACGGGTGCATGACGGGTATGGAGTCATGAAGACACTATTTCTAGAAGTTTTTTTGTATAATAGGCTGCTATATGGTTCACTCTCTACTAACTTTAGAGTTTCTATGTCTGAAATGTCATAATATTGCCAATTACATAAACATTTACATGTATTACAGTATTATATGCCGAGAACCCTTCCGCCATTTAATCATATTTATTTTGATCATTTCAAAATAAAGCCAGTGCCACTTTTTGTTCATATCTTTCCTATCGATATCAGATGAATACGAATTCATTCATTACAATTCCATGTTATGTCTTGAATGTTAGATGTAGAGTGAACAATCGAAGTTGTAAATATAAATTACATCAAAAGGACCCTAAACTAAAATAGTATACGACTAAAAAAATTACCCGACACTTTGTCAGACAGAGAGAAATTAAAATAAGTTACTCTCAATTTATTCAAAAATGTAAGTATTCATCAGCGTTTGACTGACAGACGACTTTCTTCCAGTAATGATATTTTCTTACTTGCAAACTTTCGCCATGCACGAAACACTGCGACACATATTCGCTTCTGATGTAAATATTTTCAATCTTCTCTGGGGCAATGTACTCGCCCTGCGCCATCTTGAAGATGTGTTTCTTCCTGTCGATGATCTTTAACTGTCCGTTCTATTTGAATACAAAGATACCATTTTAAAACTAGATAAGCTAGTCAGACGACAGCCTATTATACAACAAAGAAATATGTTACGGTGTTTGAAAGAAAAATAAATGCATCCAAAAAAAAAAAAAGAGAAAAAAAGAAAGATGGATATATGCTTTTACAAGTTATAAGGGAAACAGTGTTTAGTAGAGGTTTTCTTCAAGGGCGATTTCCAAATAAACAGGAAAGCCGGAGCTGTCATTTCTAAGGACATACAATTTTGTGATATTGGTGCACCGAGTCACTTAGTTCCGGTGTTTAAATATCGTCAATGGGCTTCTCTCTTGTGTGAGTTAGGGATCACATACCGTGACGCAGTCCGTGACTTGATTGACAAAAACTTTAATTGAAATCAACCTGATTTTTACAAGACGAAATATAACTTGATCATGCCTCTCCGATCATCCCCACTGGTATTTTAAATGGAGAATCATACCTGGATGTCTCAGAATGTTTATACCCCCAATGTATATTTTACGCCGGTGCCCATGTAAGAGTTTACCCTCCCAAATAAACTAATACTTTTTTCTGGGTCGTAATAGAAGTATTATGTGTTTTACAATTTTCCAAGGTTAGTAACTTCATTTCAAACTAAAGTGAAAGATTGTGGGAAGTATAATGTATAAAGTAAGGCGACGTGTACACGTACTTCATTAAACTTCCATTCACGTCTGTTTGTACACACAAACTGTTGTTGTAATACAGGGTGAGTGAACAAAAGTGGAACCCAAACCCCCCAAAATATATTTCATATTTGAAAAATATGCAAGAGTAGAAATAATAGTGACTGGTAAGCCAATTTCATGAACCACTTTAAGATGAACAAAGTACTTAAAGTACTCAATCCATTCAAGGTATATCACCATTTAAACGCAATGACCCTCAAACCCGTTTCTTCCTAAACAAGCAGTTTAGTGTGTTTTCTGACTGTTGGAACAACAAAGAAAATGACACAGAATACTTGTTTTAACAGCTATTAACAACTGTAGTACAACAACCCGGGTTAGGCAAACAAAATGATTTATAATTGTTTTTTTTAAGACGGGCCCTGAAAGGGACTTTGTTGAATATCTGGTGTTTGAATACAGTTTTGACGACGATTCTTGAATTTGCAATTTTGGACGAAATAAGTTTTAGGGTCATTGTGTTTAAATACAGATATTCTTTGAACGGATTAAGCAATTTCAGTAATGTTTTCCTCTAAAAGAAGCTTATGGAATTGCTTTTCCAGTCATAATTATGTTTGGTGATACATATTTTTTTTTAAATATGAAATATAATTTCGGGGGTTTGGGTTCTGCTTTTTTTTGACTCGCCCTGTAGAGCCCTCGTCATGCCATACTTACCGGCATCCATTGGCCTACATCACCCGTGTGCAGCCATCCGTCTGCATCGATGGTTTCTGCCGTCTTCTCGGGATCCTTGTAATACCCTTTGAAGACACCCGCTCCCTTCATGCAAATCTGTTCAAAGATTTAAACCAATGAAAGCCTAGTCATCAAAATTGTTGAATTTTTGTTATTGAAAAAAAAAATGGTACGCTTAGCGATTCTTAGGTAAGAAAGCAATACTTTTTTTTGAAAGTCAATTGCCTATTTATCGAAGCCCTTTCACAGAAACTATGCCAAACCCAAAAAGGCTGGTTTCCAAAGGCACGATTTAAATTATGTTTGAGGCCATTTAAAAATCTTAGATGGCCGCCATACGCACGAGCATTCGAAAAAAACATTGGTTTCTCAGTTCGTTACGCTATAAAGTTTCTCAAAAAGGTGTATTCGTGCTCACTGCCACCAACCCCCCCCCCGAAAATTCACGTGTTCACAGTGAACCAGCTGTCTATAAAAAGGTGAAAATAGGGGACGTCTCTATAGTCCGAAGTAACATTGGTCCGAAGTCCCATTGGTCCGACGCCCCATTGCACTCTCAAAAAGCTATGTAAAAGATAATTAGGTAAAAGTTGTTAAAAACATGTAAATTGAAAAATACATATTGAATAAGTGAAGCAGTCAGTTTACCTTAATTATGTAAAAAAGAACTGCAATTAGGTAAAACGCACTAAAACAAGGTAAAAACGTACACGCGGTGACGCGATGCAGCTAGCACAGCACAGCATTTATAAGTGAAGATGGAGTACACCCGCAGCTAATTTCGGTCTTTGAAGGTAACATTTTCTAAAGCTCTTGTTACTGTTGTACCGTCCCTAAGCCCAAGAAAAGCCTGGACACTTTGAACGATAAAAACCCCAGGATAGTCTTAATATTAGTAGTGTTTAACTCGGTCACTGCGCGTATAGTATACAACTCGTACGTGAACCAACTCGTAGCGAGACAACTCGTACATGTCGTACGCAGGCCAACTCGTACGCCAGCCAACTCGTATGCCGGCCAAAATTAGCCAATTTAAAGAAATTGAACGATACACCGTTCCCAGTACATAGTCAAGAATCGTCGACCACATATAATTTTGTATACGAGTTTAATTCTGTGTACGAATTGGACAAGGGCGGATCCAGGGGGGGGGGGGCCAAAGGGGGCCATGGCCCCCCCAAAACGAAATCAATTTTTTTTTTTTTATGTGACATCGCAATAACGGCAGGCAATGAGTACACCACCATCTTTTCCTAAAAAAAAACATTGGTTAAAGTGGTCAGAAATTGCCTCAGATCGCACCACAGAGCATCTAGAATCCAAAAAAAATTTCGGGGCCCTTAAGCGGGCCCCGAACCCCACGCCGTAATTTTTTTGACCCACTTTTTGACATCGCAATAAAGGCAGGCAATGAGTACACCACCATCTTTTCCTCAAAAAAAACCCATTGGTTAAAGTGGTCAGAAATCGCCTCAGATCACACCACAGAGCATCTAGAATCCAAAAAAATTTCGGGGCCCTTAAGCGGGCCCCGAACCCCACGCCGTAATTTTTTTGACCCACTTTTTTGGGGGAACCACAATTTTTTTTGGCCCCCCCCCAAAATTGTGTTCTGGATCCGCCCTTGGAATTGGACCGCGTACGAATTTGTCCACGTACGAGTTGTCGTGAGTACGAGTTGGTTCTCGTATACGAGTTGACCTGTATTCGCCTATTCATGCGTGCACCTTCGCCGAAGCCGAGCTAGCTCGGCTTCGGCGAGTGTGCACGCATGAATGTATGTGGTCCATGGGTTATGCATCCTGTACTGTTGTTTCTTATCTTGCAAAGTGTCTAAGAATTACTGCTATGGATTGGGGACGGTATGACAATCACAAAGAGCTGGAGGAAAATGTTATCGTCAAAGGCCGAAAGTAGCTGTTGTCACAGACGTCATGGTTTCTCCAGCTTATGCTGTGATATGCTGCACAGTTCGGGAAGGGAATAAATAAAATTAAAATGAAACATGTCGTGTTTTGATGGGCTTCCGTAGTTGTTTACGTTTAGAAAACACAATTTATTTTACATGATAATATAGTATTTTTTTCACCTGAAAGTTATGTAAAGTTGACTTAATTGTCTTGTACCTAATAAATGTGTAAATATATTCACACATACAACAAGTAAACTTTTACACAACTGTCAAAAAAACTTTTATCCAACACGCATTATGTAACTTTTTACACAATTGCAAGCGAGTTCGTATAGTACATATAAAACATGGTTAAATTTGACACAACTTGTGTAATTGTTTTCTGCGAGTGTGGTCCGAGGTACCATCGGTCCAAAGTCCCATTGGTCCGAAGTCCCATTGGAGCGACGCCCCATACGATTAGGGTTAGGGTTAGGGTTAGGGTCAGTCAACCTGAACCAGTGGAACTACAAAATATTATGTTTCGTCGGACCAATGGGACTTCGGACCAATGGGATGTCGGACCAATGGGACGTCGGACCAATGGGACTTCGGGCCAATTGTATTTCGGAATATCGAGACGAAACCGAAAATATACCCTGACAATGATGATGCCAATCAAAACTATCATTCATAGTTTTGTGTATGGGAGGGAATCTATAATCCCATACCCTTCTATGAAAATACCTACCTCGCCTTGATCTTTATCGGCAAAGTAGTCCATCTCAGGAACATCGACCAGCTTGAACTTGAAGGCCATGGAAGGACTACCAACATGGCCGGCACTCACATCGTGGAACATGGTCGATGAACACATGCCTGCGTTCTCAGTCTGGCCGTATCCTTCCGATAACTAGGGTCAAATGTCACAAAAGCTAGTTGAAAGCCACTGACAACTGTTTGCACTGATACAGAAAAAAGTAAGTGGCCAAATTCATCAGAAAAATAAATACAGTAGTGATCACTCACCAGTGCTCCAAAGGCACACCTGAAAAACATCTTGACCTCCTGGGATATTGGTGCGGCACCAGTGGTAATAAACCGAACTCTACCACCTAACATATTCTAAAGGAAAATCAAGCATAAACAGGATGAGGACATGTACAAATGGCATAAACTGCACCCCTACAATATTCCTAATGAATCAGGATATTCGTCGATGTCAGTTCCGTGCCGAACTATTTCTGTTTTTAATTTCACATCGAATTTGGCAATCACTGGCACAGTTTGTCACTACGTGTATTTGGCTATTTTCCCCATCAATTCAAACTCAGCAGTTTTAGGAATAAAAATAGAAGTTTGGTGCATAATCTAATTTGAAGATATATCTAGCGCATCGTAACTGCAACTCTTTTTTTATAGACAACGATACTAAGCCGTTAAAAACTCAAAATGAGAAAATAAAAAATGCTTAAGAACCATTTTGTGCATCTAAATCAAGTCATATTTTCGATCATGTGATGGATTACCGTTCAAGCAAAATTACCGCCAACAGTAGGAAAAACTTAAAGAATCATGACAGGTAAGCTGGTGGGACACAATGAGTCTCTTGCACAATGATTTCCATCCGAAAAATATCTGTCTCATTTTGAGGAAAACCCTCAATTCATTAGTTATGGTCCTTGTCTGTTAATGAATTAATATCTTACTTACTGCATTTATGTAATGCGCTTACCCGAAGCTTCGTGAAGACTTTGTCCCAAACACCATCATTTATGAATTTGCCACTGTCGACAAACAGAAAGATTGGAATTGATGTCTCTTTTATTGAAAACCAAGTACAAATGATTTTATCCTGAATTGTATCACAATTGGTTTCCATAGTTGCAATAAGACTGAAACGAAACAGTTTTAACTGAGAAAACTATTTGTTCTAGTTATCCCAATGTTGCTAATATCTTTATGGCAGGAATTACCCAGAGATAATATGAACAGACTCCACTTTTATTTACTAGTTTTCAGGGATTTTATTAGTCTATGTATTAAATAGACCATGGCCAAGAGCCATGGTCTATTTCAGCAGATTCGCTGATTAATTATGCAAGACAACCGCCCTTTGACCTCTAGATTTTGACCAATCAGCGGGCGCTTTCTATACCGGATCTTCGGTCATTCACCCGTTGTCGCGTCATAGACATGGAGACAAAAAACCTAGACACAGTAAATAAAGGCTGTGGGCACGCGCTCTGTATTTCTGTTACGCGATACGCGCCATAGCTTGTCTATGTTTTATAGATCTATGCCTGGCCGCTGTTGTACAAAACACCGCATTGGAATTGACCAATCAAACAGTGAGTCCTGATTTGGGAATGAAATGACGTCACGATTTAGTAAAGTCGACTCCTTTTGGCCGAGGCGCGGGATCGCATAAATCTGCATGCTTAGATATATCAGACGTTAGACAGGAGACTGGGCTCCGTGGATAACGGGTGATACTGAGACTAAGATTTTATTGGGTTAAATTTGATTGATTGCTTCATGTTCAGGGATCCGTTCTAATGAGAATGGTACGTGAAATCGTCAGGGTTTGAAAAGGGGAGTTGCTAATAATCGTTTTGCATTTTTGGTTTGCTTGTGCCCGTTCTTACCTTTCCATCTCCTTAATTTTCTTTTGGAGCGCCGTTCTCATTAGAAATTTGGCCAGCCATCCTTTCTGAGCAACTAATTGAGTCACCTGATCAATCAATTAGGACCATAAGAATTATACATATTTAACAGTTGAGGATACAAGTTTGCCAGATAATTCAACCTTAGAGCAATGGCAAGGGGTGCGAATCTATACTTGCTACTGCAACACGTCTCCCGAAATTATCAATTCGATTAAGGGTAGCTTTGAATTTTTTTGAAAGCAAGTACTCAATTTAGACAAATTACATTTAAAAAAACTGTAACGTTCTGGGAGCCAATACCGAAGATTAATGAGAAAAATACCTTATCGTAGATCTTGTTCATGACTCTTGGCACGCAGGAGAACAGAGTAGGTCTCAAGACAGCAATATCACTCACGAGCTTCTTCGGATCTCCCTGGTAGAAACCCACGCGTCCACCGCAAGTATATATGCAAGCCTTCCCAAGAAAAAAGACACAAACTTACAGAGTTTCGATTGTTTTCTTTCGTCATTTTCTATGATCTACAAATAAAGGAAATTTCGTGAAAAAAGAAAAGGATGTGTAATAAAAATAATAATACCATAGTCTTATATAGCGCACATAATATGTACCAATAATTAAGTACTCAAGGCGCTGGAAATTACGTCTATTATAAAAGACAGGTAAATGAAGTTTATGAGAAATATGTGACCCATTATGTAGCACCTTTATAAGGGTTTACAAGATGCTGCGGCGCATATTGCAGCCACTGCAAGAAACACCTTCTCTTAGCGATATAAGTGCTACTGGGTTCTTTAACGTGCATTACACAATACGCAGGACCTACGTCCCATCCGAAAGACAAAGCAATAACGGTAAAGTGTCTTGCTTGAGAGCACAAGCACCATGTTCCCATTGTCAGGATTCGAACCCATTTACCACGGCACACGAGTCGAACACCGTAACCAACGGACAACAGCACCCCACAATTATTAATGCGGTCAAGTATAAAATTGTTATGGCTCCATGGTTAAACGAATCACAACCAAATGCAGCATGACATCGATGGTCGTTTACTGTGGCGGTGCAATTCAATAAAATTATATTTAATTAAAAAAACCAGGTACTTTAAACACTACAGGGACATCTCACCTGAACAAATCTCTCGTAGATATGGGCGAGCGGGAGGTAGGATATATAAGTATCGTCTGTATGCATCTCCATCAAACCATTAATCTACAGAGATTATACACAACAGTGCTATTACCTACAATTTAGCGACTGAATTCTGATATTTTGCTCCCCGTGGAAAAGCATTCCTTCTTTCCTTGCTTGACAAGAAGTAAAGGAGCATCGGTGCCATTGGTTACCGCATCTATAGGCCACCTTTAAATACGGTAACATTTTACGCAATGACGGCCAAAATGGCGCCTCACTAGACAGCGCTAATTCAAACCTCCTCCAATATTTTGGCGCTGCAACGACGTCATATTTAGGTTTCAAAAAGATGCTAATCCCTGGTTATAGACCTTTCTTCGTTTGGTCGGCAAACTGCACATTTTGCAAACCACGGGTTGCAAAATTATGGAAGGTCTAACACTGCAAAAATGAAGAAGAGTTATTACAGAAAACCAAAATTTTGTCAACAAAGCTACAACATAATGTATATACGTGCCTTTTTACTATTTGTTGAGGGCGTTATAAGGCTGAGTTTTTGGAAAAATATGTTGTCAACCACGGCTTCAATTTATACGCGAGCAGCAGCCCATTGAAAACGTCGCCAATGTTCCCCAAGGAAAAGAAGGGTCTATCATTTTTAGCCGAAATGATAATGTATGCCAATGGTTGCCGTGATGCAGAAGTAAAAAAACAACAACGATTATGTTGGATAATATGACATGAAGATGTTCAAGCTTCTCTCAAGAAACAAAAAGGGAACAATCCAGGACAAATTGAGAGATAATGACCCGAATGTTTGGACCTCTGTACAAGCGACCCGCTTGTGTTTCTGCCTCACGGCCCTCATTTGCATACATTATTTATTTTCGGGTGAAATGGTCTTTTGACGTCGGTGTGCAACCGGCTACAATTCAAAAATTACAATCTGTATAAATATGATAACGTATGTGCTTCAGCAGCACAAAGAGGTATAAATCTTTAAAGTGGCCTATTACACACAGAGAGCTTTGCTGCGGCACGTACTACACTGCTAGTCATGCAGCCAACAATGACTTACCCCAGCGAATGCGAACAAGCCGGTGATAGACGCCAGAATATTTCCGTGAGTGAGCATGACACCCTTTGGATTACCCGTCGTACCGCTGGTATAACACAATGTGCTTAGGTCGTCATAGCCTGGAGGCTGACAAAAATCAATTAAGGTAAATACTATTAAAGGGTTGTTATGAATGGAGTTCCAGCAAATGTTGTACAGTACAATGTATATAGAAATTCAGAAACCAACAGCAGCAATTTTATGCAACAATTGCCTTAAGATGGCTGGCAGGTGTCATCGAGAGTTCATACAACCTACTCTAAGCATGCTTGGAATATTACAAACCTTATGAAAATTGGTCTACCAAAAGCTCATGAATGAACACGTATACTTTGAAAGAATCGAACACCAGACTAGTACCCGAACTTAATGGCTAGTGTACTTACCACTTTCTCCTGCGGGTTATTTGCACCAAGCTCCTGCAAAGGTGCCACACAAAGAAGATTAATAATGAGCATTTTCTCTAGAAATATGTATTTGACTGAAATACTGAAGTATTATGAAACTCTGGGGCAAATTTTGAACAAATTTTTGTAGACACGATTTCAGTCGTGTCTTTGAAGGGTGAATTACACGTAAACTTTGGACTCTTGCATAGCACGCCCTCAATTAGGACTGGCCTTTGTTTCTCTGTGATTTACATGTCATTTCATTGTCGATTATTTAGATAATTAAACATGTCACCACAGAGGACCCTGTTTGTTGTGCGTTACAGCACTCGAAGAAATATTCCTTCTTCCCAGTATATAATGCTGATTTTGACAATTTCGAAAAATGTGTACTTGATGAATAAAATGAAACATAAGACACATACCAAAACGTCTCCAAAGCGCAGAATCTCTATCTTGGATTGTTCAGCCTTAGCCGTCACCGAGTCTGTGGCGTCATCGATAAGCACAATCGTCTTCAATCCCGGCATATCTCCTGCCTTGTTCAACAGAAGCTCGGCTCTTGATGACGTATCACACACTACGAGACTCAAATCGACTGCAGGGAAGTAATACAATTCAGAAATTTTTAGTCCAATTTATGTTGGTCGGACCTTTCACAATGTCGTTATATTGGTTTGCTCATAAATGGTAATTGAACACTCACTCCTAGGAAAAGCACAAGCCTCTCGACAAAAACGTAACTCGAAAGAGTAACTTGGGGCTATCAACCCATCTTCACCGTAACCGCATCTTTAGAAAAAAGTCCATATCCCCCAACACAAGAGTACGTTGGCCTGCAGAAATTTCAAAGTGGATTCAGCCAACTCAATGTTTTTTAGATTTCGTAGATTGTGGATGGGTAACACTGTATAATAAGAAGCACAAGCATTCAGAACTGAATCCCCTCTTTGGTCGATTTTGTAGTAGAGCTTATGAATTTCCCAAACTACTTAACGTTGACTGTTTACAATACCAAAGCCACAAGCAATATCCGAGGCTAACCGGCAATATGGCTTTTACAGAAGCAGAATTTGTCAGAACTAAACTGGTTGAATATTAAAACGCTGTCGTTCGCTAAAACACAAAACCAACCTTGGTTGACGATATACTGACACACGTCTGGTCCTAATGTGTCGTAGAGTGGCACGATGACCATGGAATACATGTTACACGCTTGCTCGGTCACCACCCACTGGAATTAGAACAGCAAATCATACAACTATACAGGGTGGATAAAAAAAAACCCAAAAAACCGAAACCGAGATATTATTGCTATTTCAAACAGAAGTAGGGCACATTTGAATCAAAGGGAGATATCCTCTGTTAGGGTTGCATCTCCTCTTTAAAATGACACGCTGATCATGTCATTACGTTCACGGTTGACTGAGCAGTGGCCAATTTTATGAAAGAGTCTATTTAGAGCATTGCGCCACTTTTCATGGTGAAATCTCTTTTCCCCCACCTGTCTTGATTGGCAACCATAGCCTTTCACTTTGTGGCAAATGACACCACAAAAACTAAATTGAAAAGTGGCGCAACTCTCTAAATAGACCCTTTCACAAAATTGGTCACTGCTCAGTCAACCGTGAAAGTAAGGACATGATCAGGGTGGCATTTCAAAGAGGAGATTCAACCCTAACAGATCTCTCTTTGATTAGCATGTGCCCCACTTTTGTTCCATTTAGTAAAAATATCTCGGTTTCGTTTTTTTTTATCCACTCTGTATGATGAAATATATTAGTGATCTGTGCAGTAGAAGTTGTTATGAAGTTAGAACCATTTTTTGGTGAAATTCTCAGTTCAGTTGTGGTTTGCAATAAGCTTGATTTAAATTAAACTATCTGTAGCCAACAATGATTGTCCGACAATTGTCAGTCAATGAACTTGTAAAAAGTATTATTGTCTTGGTATTTCACAGGTCTTCACTATAGTTTCCAACGCATGACATCATCGACATGACTACACTTTGAATGCTTGTAATCAGCAGCGTCAAACGTATTCTTTTTTCATCATTTAAACCGTACTTTTTTTAGCACTGGTTTAATACATCAACTGTTTTGATAACATTGGACATACCTCTACCCTATTCTGCGAATAAATGCCAATGAACGTCTCATTTCCAGCTGGTATGCCCTTCTGGATCATTCCAGAGCCAAAATTCCTGGCACGTGTGTGAACCTTGGTCAGAATCAGAAACAGAACCAATGAAAGCGAAAATACATACATTTACGATCACAAGAAGTTGTGATTTCGGACGACATTATTGAAATGTAAAGTTCACTGACAAGCATTATCCAACGATAACTAAGCACACTCTAACATTTCATAGTTTGACAAAACTAGGGGAGCAAGTAAATGAAAAGCTCATGAGCCGAGAACACATCTTCAAGCCAAGAAAAAGCGCAGTCGCCTGCTCTGAGTACTAGGGCCACAGTCAGCCGGGGGGAGGGGGGGGGGGCACCACAAGATAAAAACATAAAAAAACATATGATTTTGATGCAAATTTTGCTTTGCAGAGGCGGCCCTCCCCAACCCCCTCTGCGACAGGTCCTGCCAAGAATGATAGTATACTACGCTTCACTCAAAACTTTACAGTAGAAGAAATATCGTAAATTATACAAGTTTCAAGTGAAAACATAAGTTCCACTATTATTCTTCATTATAGACAATCATTTAATTTGATTAACATCGAGTTTTTGGAATACCGTCTTGAAAAACTGCACCCACAAACAAAAACGATTAGAAAACGTTGGTGTTTTCCCTGAATGTATTTCTCTCGAAACAATTCGGCCAATTTTTCTCATTTTGAAGAAAAAGTACTACTATTTTTTCATTCTTTACAACAAGCACTTTTTTAATTGAAGCTTTGTAATAAGCTCACCTCATTGTACGTAATCCAGGAATAGGGACTTTCTGGTTCCGGTCTCCATCCTAAACACGGATCGTTACCTAACGGCCGGACAAAAAGGTATTAACATGGCATCAGGTAAAACTCGCTCGTTTCCAATGCCCTATCTTGTTTTCCGCTAAATGGCACAAAACTGTTTGAAAATAAAGCAGATCTCAGGATAGTGTCTTCGGTACGCCGTTGTTGTATAACAAAAAGATGGCAGCCAAATGGACCAATCAGCAGCTTAGTCAACATTTCTGATTGACACGACGTCACTATTTCAAAACTCGACTCCTATTGGCTGGCGCATAAACATTGCATGGCTCACATAATCAGACGTGGGTTACGGAGAAGGCTCCTTCGGACAGCGGGTGATACCAAGACTAACATCAGCTAAGGAACAATTGTGGACAAATTGCATCCGCCATGATGGATACGTTTACATTTCGTGCGCACATAATACGCGCGCGCGGAAGTGATACTTCTATCCAACGAAAACTCAAAGAAGATGGAGGTCACCAGCGTCCTTGGATAAGGCAGAGGATACCAGCGAAAACGGACAGAGACACTTTGCTATCCATTTTTTGGGCAGTGCAATCGTTGAATTATTTCAAGCCAACTGTTATAATAGTGATCTTGGTGATTCTGGAAAAAATGCTATGAGGCAAAATAGCAATTAACCTGTCTACTTAATGAGACAATCCCTGCTCAAATTGAAGATAGGGACTGTACCGAATATCCTGTGAATCCACCGGAAATTGTGGCGTTGGTTTTAATACAAGTGTGCACGAAGGCACATTTTTTTGCTTGTTTTGCAACGGAATCCAGATACAACTTAACATTTTTGTGCATGTGTTTTTTTATCTGAAAATAGGGTGCACACCTTTGTTCCCCAATACTGATGTTCCCAAATACCGATGTTCTCCGAAATCCTTTACCATATAACCCAAATGCTAAAGATCTCGGGGTACTATAAGTATTGGGAAACATCGGGTAGACCCCCTGAAAATGTATAGTGGGCACTGAGGTAAATCTTCCATAAGTAAGTTGTTATGCAAATAACTTAATATTTTGGGCAAATGATCCTGCTAGTTTTACGATATAGATATATTGAGTACTCTGAAAAGAGACCAATCCCTGTTAATTTTTTTGTAGTGACCTACGGTAGTATTTTGAAGTTATGTACTTTTATTTTCCCCTTCATTTGGCAGGGGGGGGGGGGATAAAAGAGCCCACTCACCAGAGAGTTTCAACCCACGCATGAAACAGTCGTGGAGTGAGTCCACATCGTCGAAAAACCTTGAGATGAGTTTCCCATCAGGGAGCAGTGTGGAGACCCTCTCGTGCTCCGTTGTACCCTGTGTCATTAGTGAAAAGAGCAGAAAACTTAATCTTCGGTTGAATTTAAGCAATGAAAGATTTGAACGTAGTCAGCTTGGTGATTTCCAAAATGAGTTTGGTAAACGTAAACAAGAGTTACCATGACTGCGGTAAATATACTTTTGAAACGCCTGGTCTTGTTTTCACATTAAATTATAGGGTTGATAGGTGTATGACTGTAACATTCTTAAACTATCTTTCTCAAAAATCACTGGCTCTTCAGTAATTTTGAACAGTTGCACCCGGAAGCAATACTTTTGTACGTACACATACATTCGTTATGGGCGCATTTCGAAGTTCTTTGAGTTGAAAGTTAGGTTCTTGAACTTTATTTTCACTTGAAAAAAAAATCTTCCACACCACATATTGGTGAAAGAAAAACGTTTCAATGACAACAAACCTTTTTAAGAGAAAAAAGAAGTAAAGAAAGAGAAATTTAAAAAAAAAAGTATCCAATGGACCATCGGATTTGTAATCCAATGTAGTATCCGTGACACTACAGCAGAAACTCGATCGATGTGGTTGTTTTAAAAAATATGCTTTTGCATATACAGGGCCCTCCAGCATGATTCTATATATAGTAGCGAGTGTGTGGTATGGAAAATAAATCGCCGCCTGGCACTATACAAGGATAAAGCCATTTTTGTCGTGTTCACTGCATGTGTTTCATAAATTGTAAACTGTTGAAGGGATGGTGCCAGGATACTTATTCATTCCAGCCTCACTTTCATTTTTTTTTAATGTGGCTTAAAACATGATTAATCACAAAGTCTCAGTCATTCATCAGAGAAGACTGGTATTAATCTGTTACGTCATTGCTTTTATTTCTCTACACAAGTTCCAAAAATGAAAATTTTACCTCACTCTCGATTTATTATGAACTAGTGAATAAGACCCATGAAGTCCTAACAGGTCTATCGCAAGTCCCGACAAATCATCCTGTCCCAAGTTAGGTCACAAGCTACCAGGGGCATTGCCAGACAACTTTGAATGGGTTCCCCAACCCTAACCTTAGCCCCAAACCCTAACCATCTAACCCTAACCCTAACCCTCACCCTAAGTATTTTTGGGAACATAGGTATTGGGGAACATCGGGTAGACCCCCTTTGAATGAGTGTACGTGTGACAATTTTGGCGTCAGACCATCCGTGCTAAACCTGACTCCCCCCCCCCCGACAACCACCCTCCGCAAAATCGAAAAGAGGAGGGGGGGGGCTGGGGCAGAACAACATCTTGCTACAGGGGACGCTTTTCGAAAGCGGACTATCATGGACACTATCGGACAATAAGCGACGCTCTTTAACCAGACTTAGTCGATGGACGATACAGCCAACAAAGTAATTAATGGGAGTGTCTCCCCTCACAACACACTCCAGCGCCAACTGTGCAATCTACATGTATTAAAATGACCTGTGACAAAGGCATTCCTCTTTGACAGGACATGACTTATGAACTGACCTGTGATTGACTGACAACAGCGCTGCATTAAAGTGTGTTTATCCTGACCCTACCCTACGTATCCAATTCCGGTCAAGATTAATGACTTTGAAAAATAACTAGGCCAGAAAAATTTCTACCTTGCCCTCCCCTACTGTCGCCTTTGTCTAAAGGGCAGCAGTGTTGGCCTTTAGCCAAGGGGTTGGTTGAGAAACTGATAGGTATACAATACTGTCAGTACCTCCACTTCCACCGACTGACATTTCAGATCCAACGCCTTTAGTTCAAGCTTGCGATGCTGTTCTAGCACTCCACTACTTGTCATGGTGAACGGTCGGTCTTCGATATGTATCCTGTATGGAAAAGAAGTGCTTTTGTTTAGTTTTTTTCCATACATCAGAATCAGAACATCCGATTTAAAGAATAAACTATGGTGAGAAGCGGATACCAGACAAAGGAAATGGCTTGTGCGAGGCCTGGTTCCGTTAGTAATACAAGAAATCATAGCCAAACCATTTTAAAGGTAATGGACAACATGTGCAAAGTTAACATTCAATAACGAAACTGCAAAATTATTATTATACAACACCTGAATAAATCCCCGTCAATACATTGGTGGATCGTTGATCACATGTCATTGAATTATTCGTCCCAACGTTCGGCGCGGCCGCAACGCAAAAATAGAAGTTCTATTGCACGGTGAATAGACCATTATCGTGTTGCTGTCATTTGATTTTTTCCCCTTTCAAATCAATGTAACCAAAGCGAGGCTGGAGGAAAATATAGTCTGGTTCCTTTTTGCACAAAACAATTATCACTCAGTACTGTTATTGGATACAGGGAGTAGAACGCGAGTACGAGTACGGAGTACGAGTGCTGCCCGCGAACGAGTATATACCCGTCATTTTGAGTATGAGTACTTTGACATTCGAATACAAGTACGAGTACTCTAAAAAAAGTAATCGAGTATTATTTGAGTACGAGTACCGAGTACTACAACACTGGTTTGTACATGGTACTGGCACAGAATACCTCCTTCATACAAATCATGTCTACTCAAGGACGCCAGCCCTGCCTGATACAAAAACTGAGTCGACCCGCGAGTCATTTTTTGCTTACGCATTCCATAGTCATAGTCATTTCATTGTCATAGTCATATGTCATACGTTACAGCTCTTGCTAGAACTCGTTTATTGTGTATGAATAACGTTCAGTTTAGTTGCTTCGTGCCTGAATCTAAAAAGTTCCATGTGACGACTGGTACAAACCTTCATGCATAAAGATTGAAAATAGTCTAACGTAACAGAAACATTTTAACTGAAACCATCATATTCCCTGAAAGCAACTCGAAATGACAGCATTACATGTGCAACGGACGTCAAGAGATCGAATTGATTACCAAATTGTACAGGTCGTACGGAGAGCCGCTGGCAGCGGCTCGGTTGCGTCGCTATGAATAAACCGTCAAGAGATCGAATTGATTGGCATCCGACTTAATTGAGAATAAAGAAATATTTCCGTTTGTGGCGCTCTAATTAGTGAAAAAAGTTCAGAATATAACTGATTTCATAGGCGAGCATTTTTGTTTAAAAAACCAAGGATAACTCAAAATGATTTCGCATGCTAAAATGCCAAAGAAAACAAGTTGTTTGTCATGCTTAAATGCCAAATATTTTTTTCCCCACTCGCTTCCAACATTCCAATGATAATTGTCCCAATATAAATAGAACTAACTGTTTTGTTGAATTTGTGAAGCGGTACTAGGTCATGGTAGTCGAGTTACTACACCTCACTGAACATCTTCAAAGAATTGTGTTGCATAGGCATACCGTCGCTTCTGGGGGTTCCGTTGAACGCACGCTGTTTGTGTACATACATGTACATGAATTCATATACTGTAGGTTTGATGTGCTTCAAGTTGAGTTCCAGCTAACTTATTACTCGAAAAACTTGATGGATTTAAGCATAATGGTTGCTATCAATAATTATGACTGCGGTTCTGTCAGTGCAAATTCACTTAACTCTTTCGCTACGGCGAGCCGCTGACAGCGGCACATACAAATTGTACAGGTCGTACGGAGAGCCGCTGGCAGCGGCTCGGTTGCGTCGCTATGAATAAACAGGGTATCCCCATGACGTGAGCCATATCTACATAATTTTATATCGTATAACCTCTGACCCTAGTTTGAGCCGCTGCCAGCGGCTCTCCGTCTGGCCTGGGTGCGCTTTTGGTTGTTGTGAGCAGTTTGTTTACGGAGATACATTTAAAGATGGCGGCGCCCACATCGACGCTCGGCGGAATTTCCAGCTTTGAATTACGTCCAGTTGGGACAAAAGAGGTAAATTAAATTCCGTAGCGAACTGCCGCACACATTTCAGATTTTACCTATGTTCCCCAAAATACTTAGGGTTAGGGTAAGGGTTAGGGTTGGGGAACATAGGTCGTCACCCCAAAAAACCAGGTGCCAGAAACATGGTTGTTATCAACGAGATTTTATCCCTCCTACAATTGTGGTTTTCTTGTATAATACATTAAAGAGGTTGTGGAATGCTCGAAGACATTTCTGTCATTTTTCGGGTATATGTAGCCTAAGGTGTGATGAAATAAAAACGACTATTGTTTCTGTTATAAAATGAGTACAAAAGGTACTTTTGAGAGCTGTTTTTCAATTCTTGTTATGCCTGTTTCGACCCAAACGTGCAATTTGTGTAAAAGTCGTCGTTGCGGGCAGCAAACAAAACACAGTAAATCGTGACGTAATAAACAGGACTCCCGATGCAGAGTAGCATATACGAGTCCTGTTTATTACGTCACGATTTACTGCGTTTTGTTTGCTGCCCGCAACGACGACTTTTACACAAATTGCACGTTCGGGACGAAACAGGACCTGAAAAATAACTCTCAAAAGTACCTTTTGTACTCATTTCATGACAGAAACAATAGTCATTTTTTATTTCATCACACCTTAGGCTACATATACCCAAAAAATGACGGAAATGTTTTCGAGCATTCCACAACCTCTTTAATATTGTCGTAGCTTTGTTATGGTGTTCTAGCCTGGGGAGTATGTTCCCTCGGTAATCTCAACAGGTTTTCCCTTCTACAAAAACCTGCCCTTTGAATGATTAATTTTACTGATTGTAATGTTCATACTGAACCTCTATTTCTCTAACACAAGATTTTGAAAGTTAAAGAAATTTATTTTCATCAGTTTTGGACCCTCACGAAATCAATCTGTTTCTGGTACCTTACCAACTTCTATAAATTCAATCTTCTCCCGGAATTTTGATGTTTATACCCATTATACTCGTAAAGCCTCTAATTTTCATCTACCACTGACTCGTACATCTTTGGCCCAAAAATCTGTTAAATATGCATCGGGGACCAAGGCCATGGGACCCATTTACCGAGAACCTGAAAGCGTCTTAATATCCGTCAACTTTCAAACGGAATTATAAATCGATCCTGTTGTATAATTATTGTGAGGCCATGTGAAATATCGAGGTTCCTCATGTTACTTATCTTATATTGTTTGTTAACTGGCATGTAAAGTTCGGGTATTGTCCCTGTCTATTGTTTGTCCTTTGTTTTGTGTATTAAAAGCAACTTTAAATTTGTATAAGGGGCCTACGATTACAAGCTTAGCTTCATAGTAGTTTTGATGTTTCGCATCCGATTTCATCGGATTCCATGTCATCGTAAAAGTGTGCGGGCAGCCATTCCCCCTCCCCCCCCCCCCCAAAAAAAGAAGACATCCGCTTGTGGTGTACGCTATGACGTTTTGGACTTTACTTCTCTTAAAAACATGAGAAAAAAAATAAAATTAGAGACAAAGAAATGAATTCGAACGTGATGAAATTCAGACTTCATTCCCTCCCCCCCAAAACCCAAAGCCTCCAATTAGAACAAAAAAATCGGGTAAAAATAGTGATGCAAACCCATATCGCGAGGGTCCCTCACGGTACAAAATCACGATCCTATCCAACTGAGCTATTGCACTGCTCAACAAGTCTTGGAAATTCATGGTAATATATAACTGTGAAGTATCATAAAAGTATCGCAGAGGGAGATCAACAGCTATTTAATGCGGATGTTGTTTGTGAAAAAAATCAATTGCATGTGGGCATCGCTATGTGCGCAGCACTGATTTCATCGGACGCGATAGTTATGCATATCAATCAGATTCACGAAGGAAGTCATCGATTCAAAATTGACGGCTTTCATTACGTCATCCTGTGACTGGCCATTATGTGACTGATCATCATGTGACTGACCGTCCTGTGTCCGAATGTATTATGGGTAATGTTGTGGCCTCCGCAGCGGTGGGAAAAAATGTACCAGTGATCCGGTGAACCGGTAAAATGGGAAAGGTGTGCAGCGGGCTTAATCGCCAAGGGTTCTGAGATTTGACACACCTTTAACCCTAAATGGGCCGGGGCGGAATCCGCCCCCCTAGACTTTTTCCGCGATAGCCTTTACAAATTTTGTTTTCGCGACCCGAGCTTTTATGACTTTTAAGTCTCGAGCCTTGGGCATCTTTTGACACAAAAAACATAAAAAATGAACGAGGGGTTGTCGCGCAGCGAAACTTTTTCCGGCGCTATGCGCCGTGAAAACTGAAGTTTCCCATATACGTCGTGTACACAGACCAGAAATACGATTCGTACATATTAATATTTTTAAATTAGCCATAATCAAAACCCTTTGACCTTTGGTCATGACATTCAATGGGTATGTTCATGAAGAGTTCCTCTATGCATGTACCGAGTTTCAATTTTTTCGTCACTCGATGGCCGAGATCTTGGGGGGAGGGGGGGCAGAATCCCCCCCCCCCCCGGCTGAGAGACGGTCAAAATAACCCGGCCCCTTTAGGGTTAAATGAAAGAGAATTAAAATCTGTCAAATCCCAGAGTGAAGGTATACCAGTATTCAAGTGCTATGTAATCGGCTTAAAATACGCAGCCAGGGCTACGTGAAGATAGCATTTTAGAACTACATGTACATTACAATACTGTTATAAGGGAAGGGGATGGCGGTAATAATTTTTCCTGGAAATAAAATTGCACCCTAGGGAGTTATTGTACCCTAGCTCCCTAGGGTGTGTGTACAAATGTATTAACATTTGAGGATTCAGGACTGTTAGGGTCAAGGAACGGCTATATCTTTCGAGAAAGAGGTTTTGCTGAGTCAAGGCCATGACATGAAAAGCAATTTCCAGGCAACCTGTTCCCATCAACTAGTCCAGGCAAAATACTTTGTCTAAGTGAATCGCACACAAATTGCAGCATTTTTTTCCACCACAGTGCATTTCTATAAGGTCCCTAGGATGACATAATTTCACCAAAGTGCCCCATTCAACCGGATTCGTTTCTTTACAATAACCTGGATGGACTCAGTTGAGGTTCACCCGCACTGGAGAAAAATATTTGTGAATGCATATTATGCATATTATGCATAGACATCCAAATCCGAACAAATCTCAAGGTAAATTGCGGTTAACCTCGAGAAACTGCCTTTTTAATTCTGAATTTACCTCAATTATTCAAAGTTATATTCACTAACAAGTGGGAAATAATAATTACCTATATATCCGCCTGTCCACATACAGTCAGACATAAAATATCTTTGCATGAAGCGGGTACTAATTTGCACACTGTGCATAAATAATGTGCATAATCATGGTATAAATGATAAAACATAAATTAAGACACCCGGTTTGATACAATTTAACAACGTTCTTGAGGACATATGGATTTGTTCTGCATGAATATTTTGCATAACGTGCATGAATTATGTGCATATGATTGTAAAAATAGCTGTAATGCATCCGTTGACGAAAAGCATATGGGTTGAGATACCTCGTTTTGATACAGATGGACAAATTCCTGCGGAGATATAGATTGAAGTTAAATTTTAGAGAACGGCGGGTGCTAATTTGCATATAATGCATAAAATACACACACATTAGTAATTGAAAAAAGCCTTTAATTAACTTGTTAACCATCAGTCATGGTCTAGGCATCTCGATTGATAAGTTTGGACGAGATGTATAGAAAACGTATATTTTACCCAATGGAGGATGCTTATTTGCATATTATTATTACAGGCGCAAGGCCTGTGATATGCCCAAATACTACATTCACGGTTTGGAGCTACGGATCTCCACGGTTTGAAATTCGTAATAAACCGTGGGAGTACCGGATTCATCCTTAGTACATCCGTGGTTATCCGTCATCTTCCCTTGGTATTCGTCGAGGGGCTACGGAACTTTACATAAATCCCCAGTCACACATTCACGGTTGGGGATACGAATATCGACGGTTTAACAAGAATCAGTCGATCACGATGAACCGTCGAGATTCGTGGAGAAATCGACTTTCTAAGAACGCAGTACGGTTTTAGGACGGATAGCAACGACTGCCATAATGTTTCTCTACGAATACACCACTGTTTGTCAAGAATATTGACTGATTGGTGAAGAATATCGACGGTATTATTAAGAATAATGACGTAAACACCACGGTTGTGTGCGATTGGGCCACGGATGACCAAGGTTCTCCTACGGCATATTCGTAGCAGAACCTTAGCATATCCGGTAATATCCGTAGGACATTCGTAGCGAATTCGTGGAGATTTCTACCACGAATGAGCTACGAATATCAAAGAACATGTACGAATAGCCACGAATAACACTATACGAATGAGTACGGTTGTCCAAAGGATGTCCCACGGTTGCACCACGGATTGATTTTCATGACGGTTCACCACGGAAGTTATGAACAGTTTAAAGCTAGGTTTACACTATGTTCCCGGCGGCCACGGCAATCACGTTTCTGGCCACCGTGGACAAAACGGTATGGACGTGAGACAACACCGGGGGACGGGATGGGCAAACGTGACAGGCCGTGATTGCCGTGGATGCCGGGCCAGATTTTTAAACTGTCAAAAAATTTGCCACGGCAGTCACGGTGCGGATGAGAAACCTAAAAGGCCGTAGTAAAACGGTGTGAACGCAACAAAACTTGACAGTACGTGATAGGCCGTAACAAAACTTGAAGACGGTCTGTAGTGGGACGGAAATTATTGTGCATTCCCCGGCATCTTACCGGTCCTTTCAAGTTTTGTCAAGTTTTGTCACGTTCTGCCGCGTTTAGCGGGCGTTTTGTCACGGTTGCTGCGCGTTTTGTCGCGTTTTGCTTCGTTTCTCACGGCAAGCTAGGGTGTACGGTAGCCGTTTCGTCGCGTTCAATCACGGCGCGTCCAGATGTGTAACGGTTTACAGGCCCGGTGCGATGCGGCGAGTTGCGTTCTACTACGGTCTGATACGGCGAGCGCGGTCTGGGAGGAAGTATAAAAGCATACAATGATTGCTATTGCTTGGGAGGCTTTCTTTTCATACCGTGGGCATAAACTTGCTCCGAAGCTACCCGGCGTACACGTTTCATCCGTAGAAAGCCTTGACAGAACGCGAAAAACGTGTCAGACTTTGATTAGAACGTGAGGAACGTGAGGGACCCCAGAGGGACCCATCAGAAGGTGACAGGCCGGGAGGGAACGTACTGGCATTCGTGGTAGACCGTAGTGCGCCTTTGAGCCTCAGGGATTCAGGCAGCCCTTTTCCCCCCACGGCCCATCACAGATACCGTGATAGACCGTGAGAAAACTTAGCAGGACCTTAAAAAAAACTTGACTACGGAAAAAAAATGCCAAAATCCCACGGCGCACTACGTTTCGGGCAAACGGGGCTGCCGTGACCGCCGGGAACATAGTGTAAACCTAATATAACACTTCCGTAGCCCCTCCACGAATACCCAAGGAAGATGACGGATAACCACGGAGGTACTTTGGATAAATACTCCCACGGTTTATCACGAATTTTAAACCGTAAATATCCGAAAAATCTACACCGCGAATGTGTGACTGGGGCTTAACTTTCGTAGCGAACCGTCATGACAAAAATAATCCGTAGTGCAACCGTGGGACATCCGTAGGACAACCGTGCTTATTTGTAGTGTTATTCGTTCAAATTCTTGGAGATTCGTAGCTCATTCGTGGTAGAAATCTCTACGACTTTGCTACGAATGTCCTACGGATATGCCCGGATGTGCTAGGGTTCTGCCAAGGTTTTACTATGAATATCCACGCTTTATTCGTAGGAGAACCTTGGTCATCCGTGACCCAATCGCAGACAACCGTGGCGTTAACGTCATTATTCTTAGTAATACCGTCGATATTGTTCACCAATCCGTCTTTATTCTTGACAAACCGTGGTATGTTTGCAGAGAAACCACAGGACTGTCGTGGCTATCCATCCTGAAACCGTAGTGCATTTTTAGAACGTCTATATCTCCACGAACCTCGATGGTTCATCTTGATCGATTGATTCTTGGTAAACCGTGGATATTCGTAGCTCCCACCGTGAATGTGTGACTGTGGCTTTAAACCCGATGTATTTTCTAACAGAAACTAACAAATATTTCAGTCAGTAACCCGTTTCTCCCGTCATTTGACTAAAAAGGTAGGATGCACTGAAATTTCTTTCACGGTGACAATTAACAGTAACGTCAAGATACAGAATTCTTCCCTTCGAAAATGAAAACCGCTTTTTTGCTCAAATGAAATTAACATTCCCACGGTCGGCACTAGTTTACAACACGAAGACTCAATTCACTTCTCTGCACCTCAACTAGCCCCATAAATGTGTCTCAAATACTGATCTTCCTCTGTATTGTGAGCCACACATCGATGCATGCAATATTTTTCTGTTATGTGAATTTGAAATATAGATTTGTGTACACTTCTTAATTAACTATTCAGGAAATTTGGCTTGCATCGATGAGTGGCTCACATTACGGAGTGGTGGCTCAAGTACTGGTCTTCCTCCGTATTAGTGCGCCACACGCTGGTGATAGGCCTTGTGTTAGGAATGAAAACAGTCCCGATGCCGATTTCCTCATAGACTTGCTTTTATATACACGAAGCCTATCACCTGCGTGTGACTCACTTATGATGAAGAACTCCAGTATTTGAGCCACATCTATGGAGCTATTTACGAAGGAAGTGCAGTATTTTGGGAACTATACCTTCAGTTAAATATATCGTTGTATTATCAGCAGTAGTGCATTTTCGATAATAATTGGCTGATCATGACCAGAAACGGTTCAACTCGTACCGCAAGGTCAACCCAGTAGGCCTACCTCACATTTACACCAAAACAACTTTTGCATCACACGCCTGAAAAAAACGTTAGACGGATCTCGGAAACTAATATCTGCTTGTCAACATATAATAAAACGTCCGTGTAGAGTGGTCATTATTATTTGAATCAACCACTTACCAAACTCTCACAGAAACAAAAGCTACATCAAAGTTGCGAAGTTCTCTGTTCCAATAGCAGTAGTGGATTCCACCAAGAAGGAAATACTTTCGCTTATAGACCACTTTTCATCGAAGGTTGAATACATGTAATAGCGTGTGCATGTGTGCACTTCGTGCAGAATACGTTGAAAGTCGGGTTTTACTCCGCCTGAGGTTATGCCACACGATTAACGTTGATGAATAGAGACACAGTTCAATGATTCTACAGAACCGCGTCCCGTTCTATCCATGTATAACCAACGGAGGATAATTTATAAGCAGATACCGGGAACGCGTGTGGAATAGCCTGGTTGGTTGCCATCACTGCATGTATTTTTGTTCACATTTACATTGGGTGCGTTCGACTAATAACTTCCCCGTGTATACACAGGATTACACACGGCCGGGAAGCCACGAAGTGTAGCTAATCGAACGCTGGCTACGGTGTACATCTAAGCAAATAATTTCCCATAGACACCAGTGTTAATCCCCATACTTCAAAAATCTTGTTTTAATAATACTCAGAACTCTCACATTATTCAGGATGAACGTGGAATGTCATGGCCTGGCGGTTGAGAACACCGGACTCATGCCCTGGTGTTTCAGAGGCAACAGTGGCGTGGGCTCGAGCCGGGGCCCGGACACTTGTGCCCTTAAGCAAGGCACTTAACCATTATTGCTTCGTCCTTCAGATGGGACGTTAAGCCGGAGGTCCTGTGTGTTGTATTTAAGGCCTAACGCGCGTAAAAGAACCCAGTAACACTCATCGCTAAGAGAAGGGGTTTGCCCGGTGTTTCTGGCCTCCTTGTTATACTCCCTTGTGGAAGTTTTTAGGAGAAGAACCAACCAAGTACCGAGAACAGAAAACTGATAATCAACTTGTCATCTTTCATTTGCTTTTAAATTTTTGGTGGGTTGACCGATGACTTTTCGAGAAATTCTCAGCCACAGAAGACCTCTAAACCGAATGATGTTTCCCAAAGTGGAAAAGCAGTCATCTTTAAAAAGATCCCTCCACAACATGGCTAAATAGTGCCACTTTCGGGCCCAACTGCATCCAAAATATCTGGAATCTGAGGCCTAGTATTGCCGTACTCGTACTCGAATACACGCAAGTACTCGGCCCGGAATATTATTTGGTCTAGGCCCATACTTGATTCTTTGTACTTGCATTTTGGCACGGACTCGTTGGTTTGGACTTGGTACTCGACTCCAATACTCGGGAGTACAAATCGAGTATTTTAAAAATCGAGTATTTTTTAAAATCAATTCTATAGTTCATCCATGAACGCGCGGTTGCAGTCTTACGGCCATGGATAATTATTTAACCTATTTCTGTGACGTCACACTATTGTTAAAAGTGTAGATTTCTTTCACGAATCTACACTTTACTGTAGATTATTTTGAAAATCTACACCTAAATGTAGATTATTTTTTGAATCCACAGTTTTTGTTGTGAACAATTCCATGTAATTCCGGCAATGTATAATTCCATGCATAATTCCGGCACTAAAAATTTCTTTTTTTAAGTTTCAGTCCATTATAATGAAAAGAAAAGGAAATGTTAATGGTATACTCAAAAATGTACCAATGTTGTTGTTGTTTTCCGAAAGAATTTGACGTGTACCTGACTTTGATAAATACCCTTCTACTTTAGTTTTAAAATTTCTTACACAAAATGTTCTCGTTTGATTTTTGATTTGCCGTCCTGATATTTTTAGTATAATATACAGTGGCGATTATAAATTTTAACCTAAAGCGCAGTTTAAAGTATTCCTCTTTACGTTATTTGCAGTTCCCTTTATTTAAATTTGTATTTAAATTTGTATTTAAATTTGCATTATAAATAAATCAGTGGATACCCCTCGGTTGAAGAATATGTACACATCTTTTGTTATCAAAATGACAATCATAAATAGAATGGACGAATAACTAACGAAATCAAATGAAACTTACCCAAATGAGTTGCTCGCCAACTTTTTCTTGTGCTTGGTGTTTAAATTCCTCACATCAATCCCGTAAAGAAACAGCATCAAAGTATTTTCCGGTATAATCCCCTAGCTGTAACATACAAGCGCGAACTCCATTTGGCTTTGGGAGTAAGGAAAGACAGTGTGTTCGCACTAAACACTTCTGATCGTGAATGTGTGTGTGACTTACCATGAAGACAAATGTACTGTGCAAGTGATGAATGGAACAGAAGATGTGCACCCATCCGAAGGGTTAACAATAGGATCTCGTGATACGATGCAAGCGCAGGGCCAGGCAAAATTGACTAGATTGTACGAATCTACACTTATTCACAAATGTGGTAAACAAGGGATCTTATTTGCATAAACTATTGTTGTTTTAAGAAATAGGTTAAATCAGAGAATGGACTCGAACTGTAGATTCGTGCACGAATCTACAGTTCCTCGTCCATTCTCTATAACAGAATAAAAAGACTAGATCGGCAGCACGTGCATACGCCCCCATTCACTGTGCGATAAATGTGCGCCATTTTTGTGGTGGACGCGCAAAAAATTAACGTAAAGTAATGTAGCTAAATGTGTCTGTCATCCAGCACGTGACCTACCCGAACGCGCGCTGCGCTTACACGTGCCGCTTTCCGTTTCGGATACGATCATTTTATTTCCTGCAAACCTATGGTTACAGACCAGTAAATAAACTTCCATAGACCCCAATGGTAAATGCTCCCACTTCAGAAATTCGGGAATATACTCACAACTCTCCAAGGTGTTCGAGACACACATCAAATTAAAGCTTATTTCATCATCTTTCATTTTCTTTTCAATTTTTGGGGTCAACTGATGACTTTTAGGAGAAATTTCTATCCGAAGATGATCACCCCTGAAAATAATCCTGAAGCCCATCGCCATTTTGAAAAACGATGCCTACACTCCATTGCAAAATAGAGCGCTTTAAGGGCCCCAATTTCATCCAAATTAAACGGAACTACGAGCTCACAGTCCTGTGCACGGCTTCCACCCATATTTTTTTTTACAAACCCTCAAATTCATGGCCCATAGCGTGCTCAAAAACTGAAGATTTTGAGGGCATGCAATTCGTGATTTGGCTGGCGTAGGCAATTTCGGACAGATTTACTGGTCTGAAACCGTATGCCGCTCCACTAGGAGCGAAACGTCGGTTTGTCCGATGCAAAACGGTTTTCAATCCGTTGATGTTCAATTACGAAATCAGTATTCATCATTTGATAAGTTTGGGAATCCTTTTTTGACACTCATCATATTAGTTCATTAACAAGACGTTCACAACGGACAAACAAACCTTTCGCTACGCGCCTGAATTTTGGATGGTCACTTTGAGCTTCCGTATGATTATTTCGAGGGAACAAAATAATTATTTAGAGGGAACGAAATAATATTTCGAGGGAACGAAATGATATTTCGAGGGAACGAAATAATTATTTCGAGGGAACGAAATGATTTCGAGGGAACGAAATAATATTTCAAGGGAACGAAATATTATTTCGAGGGAACGAAATATATTTCAAGGGAGCGAAATAATATTTCGAGGGAATGAAATGATTTCGAGGGAACGAAATAATATTTCGAGGGAACAAAATGTTATTTCGAGAGTACGAAAAATATTTCAAGGGAACGAAATAATATTTCGAGGGAATGAAATGATTTCGAGGTAACGAAATAATATTTCGAGGGAACGAAATAAATATTTCGAGGGAACGAAAAAGAAAAGAAAAAAATCATCATGCCTGTCCCTTTAGGGGCTCCGTTCGAGAACAATGAAAAATACTCGCGTCAAGAACAGACCGCCCGAACTCGGACAGCCATTGCGTGAGAAAAGGTTTCAGTCAATGTCAATAGAGGGCGCTGTTTCTTATGTTTTTTTCTCATGTAGAATTTTCGGCGTATTTATCCCAGATTTTCTTATTCCCAAACAAACTGTGGATCGGTGAACAAAGTTTTTTTTCGATAGGGTACACCATAATCTATATGTCTGTGAAGTTTTATATAATTCGGCGAACCAGACCGCGAGACGAGCGAAAAAAAGGCCTCGTCCCACGGACTAATTAAACGTATGGAAATTAACAATTAACTGAAATTTATAACTGAAATCAACTTAAGTATTTACACCAGTTTTATATACGGGGTTGGATTTCACAGCGTCATATATAATAGTAATTTTTGTGTTACCTTGCGACACGGGGGGGGGGGGGAAGAAAATATGGAACCGAGGAACTACTGCGCACTTGTCTTCGGCTGTCTAAGAAATAACTTATTTTTAGGGATGGGGGAAATAATCCTGAAAGAACCCTATAGCGCTGCCACCAGGCGAAATAGTTAAGGCCTAAACCTCCGGAGTTTCGCCTGTCCAGTTTAGCAATTCATGATAGCTGCAACAGGATGGTTCCGCGCAAACGTTATCGATGTGATTCTGAATTAAAGGGGGCGGGAATCAGACCTATATTAGTCATGCATATAATTTGCATTCAAGATTCGCTACTAGCCATCTGTCCCCATATATTTTGAAGCCCAAAGGACAATGGGGACAGGAAACACGACTATACCCGCTCGCGAGCTGGGGCCGTATATCGTTTTGCAGCACAAATCGTATTTTAACCAATCACATCACGCACCCTAACATGAATATTCATCACGGTGTGTGGATGGTAGACCCCTACTATACATATAGAGTTAATTTTCTTGAAATTTGACACGTCGGTTCTCATTTTAGGTAAAAAAAAAACAAATTAATGTTTATGCTTTAGCGATGGGATCCAATGGCCTCATTTATCATTTTTTGCACCGTAATTTGAATTTTCCAAACAGGGTCCTTTTTCTTGACGTACGTTGTCTGGGAAGTGGCTGCGACATCTAGAGTCAAGTTTCGTGAAATTTGACACAACGGTTCTCATTTTAGGTCAAAAAAGCAAAATATTAATATTAAGCTTTGGCAATGGGATCCAATGCCCTTATTTATCATTTTTGCACATACAATTTAAATTTTTCAAACAAGGTCCTTTTTCTTGACGTATGTTGTTTTGGAAGTTGTGGCGACATCTAGCTAGAGTTTAGTTTCGTGAAATTTGACACATCGGTTCTCATTTTAGGTTGAAAAAAAACCCCACCAAAAATTCAATGTTGGGCTTTGGCGATGGTATCCAATGCCGTCATTTATCATTTTTGTACGTAACATTTTCATTTTTCAAACAAGGTCCTTTTTCTTGACGTATTATGTTTGGGGAGTGGCTGCGACATCTAGCGTCAAGTTTCGTGAAATTAGACACATCGGTTCTCATTTTAGGTCAAAAAAGCAAAAAAAAAAAAAAAAATAAGTAAATGAATAAAAATCCACATCATCTGGTCACTGGACAAACTGTCCTGACATGTTGTTACAACTGATAATGTAGTAACCAACGGATAATGTATCACCAACCAATAATGTATCACAAATTGACCGATATTGTATTACTAACCGATAATGTAGCAAAAATTGACTGATAGTGTAGTAAAATTTGTATCCGATAATGTATCACGTGTCGACGGATAATGTAACTACACAATAACTATATCCGATAATGTATCACCACGGAACAGATACTGTATCAATCGATAATGTATCAAAAATC